TTTCCCTACTTCTGCTAATGAGTTCCTGTACAGTATTGCTCAATTTATTTAGCCCAAATTTTTTATACTTGTTTACTAGTCCCACATTTTCTCTGTCGGCTACTGGGACATGACAGAAAGAAATGCTGAATTCTTCCCAGTGAATTCTACACACACAAATGTGGGCTGCCTTTTGAATAAATGAAATGAAACTGGAGGCAGATCCTGGCTATTAGAGATTAGGTTTCCAATTTTTTTTTTATATTAATCTTTCTGGGAAGTAGTTTCCCATTTAGAAGATGGGGTTAATAACAGTATCTCAGGTTTACCTTGAAAATCTGTGAGATCTCTGAGATACTGTAGTGATGAACACTGAAAAGCCCACAAAAATATGCATGTTTCTGTCATGAAAGCAAATCTCAAAAAAGGTGAGGTAAATGAGGCATGCAACTGTCTCACTAAGTCAGCATTGTCCCCTCTGTGTTTCACAGAGGTAGAAGTCTCAGGGGATGAACACTGTCTGATCAGATAACCAAAGTAATGCATGTGCTCAAGGAAGATGATACATGTTGCACAGGCAGACCTAAAAGATGGAATTCCTAACTTCTGAGAGGATTTGTGTATTTAGCAATGTGTTTTTAAATGAGGCTTTTGGGGCGTGAGGGGGATGTGTGTAATCCTGTAACTTAACAACTGTAGATAAAAGTGTTGGCATGTCACTAAAAGCTAGCAGTACAAAGTAAAAATGCAACATGTTACTGCTACCTCTTCCAAAAGCCTTGCAAGGTGCTCCGTAGCAAAACCAGTAATTAAAAACAAGCTTAGTTTATAACAAGGCTTGTGAGCTCACTATGATGAGATGGCACTCATGAAGAGTAGGGAATAGAAGGGCTGGAGAGCTACAAGCAATAAGCTCTTGCTGTTCTTTTAGCTCCATATGCATCATCGAGTTCAACCACTGCGGCATGTGGAGCTATGTCAACAGGAGACGGTGCTGCAGCTGTAATTACACTGCCAAAACTGCTGTTGCCATGTTTGTTTGCATTATGGGGATAGCTGGACTACACCAGCATCAGTGTCTCCTAATGTAGCTGTGACCTTAGGTCAAGTCAGTGCATACCTGCACCTTGATCTTGCTAAGATATACTCATGTACTAATTTTCATGATTTCAGCTACTTGCATATGTAAACCATGATGGCACAAGTGTAAGTAGTACCAATGTGTCTGTATTGACATAGCTCGGGTACTAACAGTGCTAATAATAACATTATTGTATACTGCTATTTCATAGTGATTTTTTACATTTCATGTTTCCTCAATTTCTAAGTAATGTTTTAATATTTAGTATTCTTATTCTTTTGGGGCAAGAAGTTCAAGTCTCAGAGTGTAAATCCTAAGGTTGAGATTAAATACTAACTAAATATGAACTGGTTATATATGGTCAGAAGGGATGCTTTCTGACCCAGAGATGGCCTTTTCTTTTACAGTTTAATGTCCTGGAAAAAAACGAGGCTTATTAACTAGTATAGAAATTTAATTTGGAAAAAACCTCTTCTATATTTTTGTATTGAGATTTCCCTAATGTTTTTAATAGCCATACTTGAAATGTATTAATATCTGCTGAGTAGGGTCAGTGGCCCTTGAGGTAGCATATACTGACCACAGAACTGCACATGGTATCACTCATTTCTTGTAAGATCTGTGCATCAGAGGACTGACAATCCTTTCCGACTCAAAACAATATTCTCTTCTGTGAGCTTGTGTGATACGACCTCTGTTTGTCTTTCTAGGAGTCTGACCTGACATTTCGGTTGGCTAGTGGCCTTGTTATTTGGCAGCCTATGTGGGAACACAGGCAGCCTGAAGTTTCTGCCTTCAATGCCCTTGTAAAACCAATCAGGAACATCGTTACAGGTCTGTGACTTTGCGGTAACGTAGCTCCTGAGAGCTGGGAAACCTTTCCTTTGTTTGTTGTCTGTTGCTGCCTTATGTTCTGTAGCCATCATATTTGAAGGAATATGTTAATCCTGCAGGAACTAGTCAAACCTTTGAGAGTAGTTTAAGGTTGTTTCCCCTCAGAGCCAACTGACATTTGCGTAATAATTAAATAGGAGATGAGAGACTCTTCAGCAGAGTTGCCGTTTCCTGGCAGCCTTGTATCACTGTTTTACCGTGTCTGCCTTAGTTGCTGAGAAGGGCAAAGGCAGTATCTAGCAACAGCCTGACACGGGTGAGGAAGGCTTTCCCAGGCTGGCACTGGGCAAAAATTAACAGTGAATAGCACGCAGTTGACAGTGTATGTTCTCTTCCTATCTAAAATTTTAATTTCACCATGTTATGAAATTAAACAAAGTAGTTTCAAGAGGCTCCAAAGAAGGTTTAGGTTGTTGAATTTGCTTTTGCATACTGGAAGGGTTGCTCCTCCTTTGTACTACAGCCACAATGAGACTGGAGTTGGGTGCTTATGCTTCCAAGCCTTTGTGTCTGGCCTAGTTCTAAAAAATCTTTTTTACTTTTATGGTTTTAGATGATAGTTTTGCATAATTTCTACAAGGTAGTAAATTGTAAGTGTGCTGGATGTATCGCTGTAGCATTGCTTGCTTGTTCTCAAAAGCACAGGGCTGTAATTTTCACAGTAGTGAAAATGTAGTTCGCTAAATCAGATTTTTCTGATGACGAGCATTTTGGATGTCTTATTTTGTTCTGAAGGCTTTGTACACCTCTGGGACAGTCCAGAATTTAAAAGATTCAAATCTTTCAAATGCTTTAAAACCATCTTTGACATCTAGCTCTTCGCCCCTCTGCTTCAACTTCTGGAATTAAAAAATAGGATTTCAGCCCTGGAACTAACGAAACAAATTAGTTCTAGGTTTTCTTCGACTGTTGAAATTTTTTCGATAGGTCTGGAGTGTGATCAGAAAATCCCTAAAGAGTAACTTCAGGAGTAAAGTCTGAAATGAAAATACTCTCTTATGTTTTGAAAACGTTTTCAGCAGAACAGAAATAAAAATTGGAATCAGGTTCTTGATATCAAGGAAGATCCTGCTATCTTAGCATTCTTGTCTCAAATTGGGACAAAAAAGTTAGATTTAATTAAATTTTCATTCAGACAACAAATTAAAAAGATTCTACTGAAGAAGCTTTGCAATGTTTTGTTTGGAGTCAGTCTGATACTAAGTCGCATCTGCGTAGCTTGCGATGTGACAGGATTTCAAGAATTGTCATCCCAGTCTTTGTGATGCTCTTGTTCTTCTACAGTATTGCTGATCAAACTTTCTCTATGACATTTGTGTTTCCTGTGAGGAAGGCGTATGTCAAATTGGAAATCACAATGCATTCTGAGAGAGGTAACCTAGAAAAGGAGCTGAATATATGTGAAAATAGGAGGAGGAAGAGCTCCAAAATAAAAGGCACTAGTATGCACAGCAAAACACAATTTGATGCCAAATGGATTTAGGATAAAATTTATATTCAAATTTAATTTTAAAGAAATACAGATTTTCAGTAGACCATGCTGTTGACAACACAACTGAAAGAATTGTGCAAAAATTAAAACAGTCCTTTTTTCTTTTTCCTCTTATGGCTGTGGCTAATACCTAGGAAGTCTGCAGCACAGAGAGGCTGCTTTGGATTTGTTTTTTTGGTTTATCCTTTCAGTGGTACGTTTTAATATTAGAGGTGATTCCTGAAATGTCCTCCTTTGACTTCTTTTTTTCAGCTAAGAGAAGTTCTCCCACCAACAATCAGAGCGTGACTTGTGAATCTCCTAATCTGGACAGTGGACATACTGAGGTAAGTTCTATGCTAAGGTTAGACAAGCTTGAATAAGGAGCTAAGGGAGGGGGGAAATTAATATTGAAGCAGCACTTACAGTTACCACCCTAAAATATTCCATCTCCAGAAACTGCAGTTCTTCACAGTTCTTCCGAAGGCTCCCAACCTTGTCTGCGATGGAACCAAAGTGTACTGAGTATAGTTGACAGGATTTCCTTGGCCTTATCCTGTCTTATAGGATGGAAGCCTGATCTTACGTATTTTCTTGGGCAAGAGCCCAGTCTTACCCTTTGCTTGTATAATGCCTAGTACCGAGAAGCCCCAGGCTCGATCAGTTTCTCCGTGGTATTATCATGGTGTTATGGTATAAGTAATAGTCATGTCTAAACACAAATTGCATTAAGAAGACTAATATTGGAGAGATAAATATGTTTATATACCTACTTCCTTTTATTAAAATTATCTAAAGGGGCTACAGGTGGTCTGTGAGACAACTGAGCCAGATTCTGTACCTCCAAAGGCCAGTGTTTCAGCATGTCATCGTGGAAATTCCTTGGATGGAAGCGTATCCTCCCAAACCTCTCAGGAGAGAGGTACTGCACATCCCAGGTACAAACCCCTTCTGCAGAAAGTTAGGCTGCTGTGGCTCAATGGTGGAGGTCACAGAAGTCCTTTCTCTTGAGTCTGCTGTTGTCTGTACATGCCAAGGGTGCTGGATGTTTATCTCAAACTCTAAATTCAACAAATTTCAGTTCTGGGTGATGGACAAGGGGGTGACACTTGATATTCAATGCCACTTTCATTGGAGAAATCTCTAGCTGGCCTGTTGGGACAGTTTCTTTGGTCTTTTCTAATATGTTGGTTTCTTATGATTAAAGACACTAACAAATGACCTGCAGGTTCAACCCTCCTTAGCTGGATTCAGTCTCAGGCAACTGGTATCTTTTCTGGCTTCTTTCTGATCAAGTTTTCTTTCCCTTTAGCAAAAGATTTTTGCAAGCCTCTCTCCGTTGCCTGCATTAGGCCTTTTCTGCATCCTGCTGCTTGGCTTGCTTTAGACTACTGGCTCAAAGGAACAGACTAACAAAGAAGTGCAGCCATGCAAACATCCTCCCAGCCTGCCCTGTGGAGCTCAGGCCATGGTTTTCCAGCATGGCACTGATAAATTAACTTCTTTTAATCTAGATTTGGGCATGTAAAGATAGAACCAGATTTCTGGTAGAGCTGGTCACTCAGTAGTGCCATAAAGTAAATGAAGCCGAACAGGTCTTTTCACGGGGTGGAAAGGGAGGGAAGCCTAGCTATATTTTTAGGTGTCTCTGTATTTAGGAGTGTCACTTAAACTCCTCCTGAAAATTTTGGTCCTGTTGCTTATCTCTTTTGGGAAATGTCATATCCAAAACTTTGCAGTGTTTTAAGAAATTGCTTCATTACAGTGACAGAAGTGGGATGGAGTGGGTTTCTGGATATGATCTAGGAACGGCTCTGATTTCTCAAAAAAGGGATTTGGTGCGCCCTTTCTACTGGTGGAAAGGGCAAAGCTATTCTCTAAGGCTCTGATCCCATCAGGAGGCTTCCCTTGGGATTTTGTGTCAAGCCTGCTGTCAGTTCTGGGTCTTTATTTAATCTGTATTAATGTGAGCCAGTAAAACTGAAGTTGGGGACAGAACTGCCTTTCTATGTGTGAACACTACTGCTCAGAGAGTGCAGAGCCGTAGAAAAATAAGCAGCCTTTTAAGAAGACAGAATCAGGTGATCAATTTGTCAAGCTGAGTCTGGTGGTTGCTATGGGGATGAAGCTTCAGACAGGCTTTGAAGAGAGCATCATTATGCTTCCTCATTTGCAGGACTCATTGATCAGTTAAAACTGTACCGGGAGCTTTGGTTGCTGAGCAACAGACAACTGAGGAACAAATGTTGTTTACTCTACTTACCAACAGCCGCAGTATTCCTTTGTCCTTGGCCCAGGGTTGAAGGAAGGCTGCCTTTCCACTCTCCCTGCACTCACAGGCAGCCATTATAGGAATACTAGATTTCCTTCTAAATGAAGTGCAGAGTTTAATTTCTGGTTCCTCAGACACTTCTTGAGCAAATGGCTTGTTCCTTGGATCCTGGCTAATTATCCCCGCTCCACAGTGAAATTCTCCATTTACAGATGATACAGTTAACACTGAAGCAAATAAAGCCACAGCCCTTTATCCAGCTGCTGCCTTGAACACGCTGCCTGGGAAACAGACTTTGCAGGAAGGACTTTAGTGACAAATCTTTCATGAGGAGAACATGCCTTGCTCCAGGCTGTGTTGTGCCTCAGGTTTGCCTATGCCACATACAGGGAAGCCATGAAAGACTATTTAGACTCAAACACTGATCTGGGTCCTGCAAAGTGACCAGGGAGCAATGCATCATCCATTACAATTGCTACTGAGGTGATGGGCTGTATTTCCTCTGCTCGGATGCTTTGAGTATCCCAGCTATCCTTATGGTTTTTTACAGGATGCATCTATATGACACAATCTCGACTGTGACAAAAACAGCCTTCACATCAGGTTTATGGGGAAAACTTTATAGCATATTTGCATTTATCATTGTTTTCTCCTTCCTAATTCAGTTTTTCAGGTTTTTATAACAGCTCATTTTAAAGTCGTCAAACTTGTAACATTTTTACCTTGAATACAGCACAAGGGGAGTAGCTTTGAATCTATAGATTACATGTAGTGACATATGCTGACACAGACAGGCTGGTCTGCGTCGCCAAGTGCCTTCAACGTTGGCCTGTGGGTCTGGCAGCAAACCAGCTCCTGCAGGTTTGAGTTCTAGAATCACGCATTGCTCCAAGCCCAGCCTTGCCACCTGCCCCCCGTTTCCAAACGTGTAATATGGAGCAGGGTTCACCTGATTCCAAGTGGTGTCAACGTTCACTGCACACTTCTCTCTCCTTTGCCAGTCCTATATCTGCCTTGGATGCACAGGGCAGCTTTTTGGCACTGGGCAGTGATCCAGCAAAGCACCTTAAGCATGCACTTTGCTTTAAGCACTTAGAGGTTCCACTGGTCAGCGTTGCTGCTAGTTCCCTGATGCTTTGCTGGACTGTGGCCTTGGACACCTCTGTTCAGAATGTGGTGGTACCCAGCTGGATATGGGGTTGTCCTGCCAATGCTGTTTGCATGTTGTTTAGCAGGCTTGATAATACAAATGGTTTTTTAAAAAAAAACAACAAACCAAACCTGATGTTCTTGTGATGATTCCCAAATGCCTGAGAATACAATTCACGGAAGTGCTGTTGATTTTTACAGAATCTTAAAATCACAGCAGTACTCAGTACACAGAAGTGTGTTTCTAACATACTGAGTGGAAACATTCAAATTGTCTACTTTGGCAGGCAAAAAAACCAGACAGATGTCCAGAGTTCCTGCCCCAACCCCAGCATTTCACACCTTCTTTTGCCATGCGACTGTCATTTCTCTGACTCCCTTTCACTGCTTCTTTTCTGACAGATTGCCTCCTAACAGCTAGTGACTGTACAAGGGGTAGATCAGACAAGTTGTACGCTGCTAGGGGAGAAGTGGTATAAAAAATAAATAGTAAAAATGTTGGGGCATTTTCTTGCAATAATATTGGCTCTGAAAACAGATATCCCTTTGAAATTGCTGGAGTCTCATTTCAGAGGCTTACCAGAGACATCTTGCATTTGGGTGCGCTAACTTCTACAATACTTAGGAAATCCTGTTCTAAAACCCACCAGGAAATGACATCACCTGAAAGGCAGGAAAATGATAATGAAGGCTAAAACATGGTCCTTTTCTCTAGCACACCTTGGCAGAGAGTGTCGATGACAATAACTTTTACTTGTATAAGAATCAATTTAATTGGCTTAAAAGGTTAACTAACTTAGCTGCCCTGCCTGCTCCTTCTTAAGTAAGGCCTGATGTGTACAAATGGAAACCATTCCTAAATATATATTTGAACAGCAGATGCTCAAGGGTTGTCTGTTTCCAGCTGAACAAATTGGTCAGTTAGCACAGGTGCTGGAGGCTTATCTTCAGACCACAGTTTAAGAAAGCAACCCTATCCAAGAAAACACTTAACAAAACATGTACTTGAGTCCTCTAGGGAGCTGAAACCAAAATATCCACTTGTGTGTCTTCAGTAGGGCTTTCCTCTGTCAGGGCCTAAGTCCCAAAGGGTCAGTGTCAAATGTCCTTGCAAACTCAAGCAGGCACAGCTGTGTGCACATCCTGGTGATTTCTGCAGGTGGCAAGAGAATGAGAATGGCTTACAGCTCTTGATGAATGACTAAATTTTAGGCCTCTTAGTAGAGCTCTTGGGTCTTTTGGGGTGGACCAGCAAGTATTCTAGGACAGAACTGGCTTCCAGCTGTCAAAGAAAACTTTGTGGTAGTGAGAGTGACCCCTTAAGAACAGTTGAATATACAAACCTGACAGATCATCACTGGGTGGCTCTTTATTCAGAGAGCTGAGTATCTAAGAAGGGCTAAGGAGCCTGGTGACTAACATTTCTACTCCTGCTTTTTGGAACAGGGTATCCTTGGTGATTCCACCATGCCAGAAGTCTCGCTATGCCACATACTTTGATGTGGCGGTGCTGCGCTGCCTGCTGCAGCCACATTGGTCGGAGGAGGGCACACAGTGGTCACTAACATACTACCTGCAGAGGCTGAGGCACATGCTACAGGAAAAGCCTGAGAAACCACCTGAGCCAGAAATCACCCCTTTACCAAGACCTCGCAGCAGCTCAATGGTGGCTGCTGCACCCTCTCTGGTGAATACCCACAAAACTCAGGTAAGCAGTTGCTATCAGTAAGAAAATAGCAATTCTTGTGATGATGCTGGGAAGTGATGGCTGGACAACTAGTGAAAAACGCAGCTTTGGTGTTGGTAAAACTGTGCGGAGGTCAGACGTGTGGATCGATTCAGAAAGAGACCCTGAGAACAATGAAGGCTTTGGAGGCAGAATCTGATGCAGAGAGTCAGAGCTGGTGACTGCTGAAAGCATGAGGGTTGATTTGGGATAATTAATCTAGGGTGAACTGTGATAACGTTAGTTTTTAATATGAGAATATACTAAAGTAGTTGTCAGAAGAAATCAGACTGCCTTTGTGTTACAGTGTAATGCTCAGGACTCGCTGAGCTTCTTTGGTGTAACCCTTCAAAACAGAGAAAAGGAATTGCAGTTGGTATGGCACTGCGCACTGCACGCAAACATTCGGGTTAAAATATTGGAGTAGACTTTGCAAACAAAGCAAAAGCCCTCCATGTTGTTACCTCTTCTCCTGCTGTTATTCTTGTTGCATTACTTTTACCTTTATATTTGCTGACAAAACCTCAGTAGACAAACTGTCCTAATAGGTGCCAAGACTTGCTCCCTGTTTTGCTGGAAGAGGAACCCCAGACTCCTGACGTTGGTGCAGTAAAGATCTTTGTGTTAGAGGTTAAATGTTTCTTCTTTTGGGTAGCTCACTGTTCTTCCAGGGAGAAAAAGGGGATGCTGCTGCAGTTTCAGTTAATCTCCTTGTTGATTTGTGCTACTTTTAGGTTGTGTGCTCTTTTCCTGTCATGTAGGCTTTTAACAGCAAAATTCTGATTTACTGAGTTGATGGAACTGCCTAACAAAATTTAATACAGATTCCATTTTTGCAATCTAATTTTATGACACACATCATGTAAAAGGCTCTATCTTCTGTTAATGTTGCTGTCAAATGTCTTTTTGGAGTCAGAACTCAGAATTTTCTGAGTTTTTTCTTAAAATCCTTGCTTTCAGTATTGTAGAGCTCTGGCAGGTTTTGACCTGTTGTTTTAGAAAGGAGAAGGGTGAAATATCTTTTCTCCTGTACAGCCCATATGCTCATAACCCAGAAGACAAGCATAAACAATGTATTTATTAGTACTGTTATTTTTAAATCTCGGGATTTTACAGCCATTCTTATGATTTTTATGAGGGCTGGTGGTTACTTGTGGTTTTAAGGGCTCAGCAGCAGAAGTGGTGTTTAAACTGTATTATAGTTTAGTGTCATTTCTATAAAATGTTGCCTGTTTCATCCCTGTAAAAGCATGACATATCTCCATCAAGGCCAGGTGATGGGAATTACTCTTCAGTCTTAATCTACCTCTGCATGGGGATTTTATAGGATTGCTGTGCATGTACAGAAAATCCTCCTTAATATCCTCTCCTGGAGGGAGAACTGGAAGATATTGCTGTTGATGTGGTTCACTGTTTCCATGCATATACTGTCCCTTTGCCCTTGCTCGTAACAACCTGGTTACTTGGCACATTAGCAAGTTTTAGCTACTGGTGCCACAGGGAGTGCAGTCAGTGCTTCTCGGCCAGGAATGGGGTTGTCTTCCATAGGCACCGTTTGCACTAGTATTGTGCTGGTTCTTCTCTATATGCTGTGAGACACTTCCCTCCTTTCACACATTTGGCTGTTTCTTGCTTTTCCAGGCTGTTTCTTTTGCAGAAAATTCCTTTACTCACTTGCTCTTCCCTAACATTTGTCTGTTAAATCCATTTGGCAATTCCACTGGGTACTTTCTAGCTGTTAATATGAGGACTCTGTCCAGGGCATTCTTCCCTCTAGGGCTAGGTTTGATTGCTTTTGGTAACCTCTGTGTCAGTCCTGTGTATTTTTACTGTACTTCATCAAACTGGAATCCTGTTTAAAAAGGTTTCCAATTTGTTACACAGGACAGCTGTGATGGAGGAGGTGAAACGGTCTTGCATGCAGCAAAAGTTTCAGCTCATGCTCCCCTTCTTTACTACTCTGAGGACTGAAATCTGTGCAATGCGCAGGATCACCTAGGCTCTGTTTCATCCTAGCCAACCGTAGAGACTTAAATGCTGTTCTTAAATTCAGAGTCGCATCACTCAAGGCTCTCTGCTAGTCAGAGGACAGAGTGCCACCTCCAAAGCACCAAGATCTGTCGTTTCTTTCCATCAACACAAGGGGCTGTATGCTGAGACTTCACAAGGTCATCTGACACAGGGATATGCTTAAAGCCTGCTTTTTCAGTCCAGATCTTAAATTCCTAACACAATGTCATCATTTCTGCTCAAAGGTTGATCAATAACTTCTCGAAAATATCAGCACTCTGTGTTTCAGCATGATAGATTTAAAGTGACAGTTCTTGCTACTGATTAAATACAAAAACAGCTGCCTGCAAACCACATCAGGGACCAGTAGATTTTTCTGGTAAATCCACATTCTTTCTCTTCTTCCACAGTTTATCAGGGTAACTTCCTGCATCTCCCTAAGCCTCAGCAAAACTCTCACACTTCTTTTTGGTTTCTGTGTGCATGAAATCACATTTCAAATATAAACTTAGGCTGAAGCAGTTGGGATCGAGAGAACATGAGAAACATCCTCCATGTATTGCCTAGTAAACTGAAGAGCAAAGTAGAAAAAGATTCAGTGCAGCATACCAGCACCCCTTGTTGCATAGGAAAAGGGGGGTACTGGATGGCGTGTGAGTAACATGAATACTAGCTTCCTCTAGAAAATGACTTTAGTCTAAACATATTTCAGACCTGGCAACATGTGATAAAGGAAGCCTGCATTGCACTCATATGCAGTGAATTCAGTATAAGGACAGGGCTAGGAAATGAAACCTTCAGAGGCTCACAAACCTCAACAGTCCTTCACTAACACTGCAGGGGCAAAGAGCCAAAGCTTAAATTAAGCATAAGATGAATGCAGCTGTAGCGCTCACTGCAATGCTAATATAAAGCCAAGAGTCTCAAGTGTAATATCTTGAGAGTTGAGAGTACTAATGAGCTGGTAGCCACACAGTCATGCAGAAGGACGGCAATACAAAACCGAAACAACAAAATCCAGAGTAGCGGCCCTCAAACTGCTTTGCTTTCTTAGCCATCTTATGTGTGTCCTTATTGCCACATAGCCTACTGCACAGAATAGCCACATTTTTAATCAGTCTTCAACAGGAGTGCTAGCTTGATTCATTAAAATACGTCATATACCACACTGTAGATTTAAGGTGATTCTGTAATTTGCTTTTCTAGTGTCGTTTTCTTGATACCTACCCTAAGCAGATATCAGAACTGGGACTGTATCTTCCTGCGTGTTTGTATGGCTTGTATCACAGTAGGCCCTGATCCTTACTCTGTCCTTTTGGTGACCATAAGCCACCTAATAAAACACTGATTTAGTAACTAATGGACAAAGGTAATGAATCTGAAATAAGTTCATATGATGTTTTCCAGCCGGAAGAGGTCAGAGAGATGTAAAAGCTAAGAACAAAGCCATATGGAGTACTTGCTGGCCTTGCTGTTGAGACCACCTAGGGTTGAATCCTGATTTGCTGTCTATTGGATTTTACAGATGACTCCTCCCCTGAATCTTTAGTCGTGTATGCAAAATGGTTTAAAAGCATACCTTGACTGAAAACAACCGTGAAGAGGAATCTTTCTGTTGTGCATCTCCTTCATTCTTGTGTTGATAAAATTGATAGGAAGGATTCAAGGGTAGTCTTTGATTTGTCTGAAAAGTCTGTGAAGAACGTGTGGTCCTTGGTAGCCCGGTACTGCAAACACTGTAGCCAGTGCTTAAGGCTTCAACTGCAAAGACTGTCACCGGCTTCTGCTGGGCCTTCGTATGCATGAAACTGCAGGCTGGTGTATTGCAGAGCTGACTAGCTCTGCAATGCAGTCTGGCTAGGCAGAGTCTAAACCTCCTATGCCATAGGAGTTGCTTCATCTGTTGTGGTTTTATGGCTATCTCTGGATTGAAAGCAAAAAGCTGTTTTAACATGACCCAGTTGCTTAGCATAACTTTTCTGATGGGGGAGCAGGGAAAAAGAGCATCTCCCTTGGAAACAAGCTGATATTTAGGCAGAGGAAAATTATCCTGAGGGAATTTGGTCAGGTCAGCTGCACAAACATCTCATGAAAAGTGGCATCAGATCTTTAATGAGAACAGATGGCCAGGAGCTGAGCTTATGCCAGCTTTTGTAGCAAAGCCTTTCTTTACAGCAGGCAGGTGTAGTGCATTGTGCTCAGTGCGGAAGGGGAGTGGAGTACCCTCTGCTGAGAGTAGAGTAAATTATCTCAAGGTTTTCACTGTCGTGAAATATTGTGTGCTGTAGCTGTAGGGGCTTTCACAAATATGAACTGTGATGAGAACTATGATGGACAGATCTTGGAGCACTCTTATTGCAAGTGACGGATGCTTAGTGATGTAGAAGTCTTGGGTTTCTTTAGTGAGTAAATTATTTTTTTACAAATCAAATCTCTTGAAGGAAGAGTGCTGCTTATTGCAGTTCAGTTCCAAAATACATGTTTAAAGGCATATATTATTAAGGGCATATTCTTTTAGATCTTAAATAAGGCGCTTCAAAAGGGGTAGCCATTGTGATTGCTCATAAAACTAAACCAAGACCTCAAGAAGGTGATCAGCTACCCAGAATCATACCTGGGATCAGAATCAGATTAGAATAGAACATGGTCTTCCATGCCACTAGACCACACTGACAGCAATGCTTGAGGCTTTCCGTAGCAGCGCAATGTGCTGTACTTTTTTTCCTGTGGTGACAGAAATGTTAGACAAAGTCAATAATTCTGGGAGTTTCTAAATTTTGGTTGGTTGTTCATTTGTTTTTCTTTAAATGTGTGAATAGTGTTTTGTGTAATGAATTGAAGGTCCTTTTCCTCTACAGTGCTCCTATGACAGCTCTTGGAAGTAGCTCTTTTTTTTTTTTTTTTAAGCTGATTATTCTCTATTTCTCTTTGCGTTTATTGTCGTCTTTTGGGAGCTGCAGGATCTTACAATGAAATGTAATGAGGAAGAAAAATCACTAAGTGCAGAGGCATTTTCCAAGGTTTCGCTGACCAACTTGCGTAGACCAGCAGTTCCAGATCTCTCCACAGACCTGGGGATGAACATCTTCAAAAAAGTAAGTGGAAGAAAATTATACTTTATTTACCTATGATTCAGCACCTCGCTGTCCTGCCAAGTAGCAGCTGAAGGTCTGCTTGGACTATATATTCATGCCGTATGTGAGATTGACATCTTTTCATTGGAAGTGATTCTGTGTGTTATTACATAGGTTTTTATATGCACATTCCAAACACAATACTGAAATCTTTATTCAAATAACTGTTTTTGGAGGGGAGAGTACTCAAACAGTGCTGATTTTTAAGCACTGGTGCTCACTGGAGTTCCAGCTAATTCAGAGAGTTCTTCTGATGTTTTTACCTCATGAAGCTCTGGGTTTGCAACCATCCAGTACACTTAGCAGAGTTTTGTGGATTCTGTGAATCTAGCTCATGGTCTGAGAATGTCATAAAATTATACGAGGGCATCCGTGCCTAGGGCAAGGCTGGGTTCCTTTAAATACTCATGTGGTCCCGGAGTGCAGATAGTTGCTATCAGGACAAATGGCCAAGATAAAAAGCTCAGAGTGGAAGGTTATACTTGGGCCATACATCCGCATTATCTTTTTCCCTCAAATGGTAGTTTGCCATGCTTCAAAGCCTCTACCCACTCTCTTATCTGCTCCTCTTCCTCCTGCAGTTTAAGAGCCGCAAAGAGGACAGGGAGCGTGAGCGCAAAGGGTCAATTCCTTTCCACCATACTGGGAAAAAGCGGCAACGAAGGATGGGGGTGCCCTTCCTCCTCCATGAGGATCATTTGGATGTCTCGCCCACTCGCAGCACTTTCTCCTTCGGCAGTTTCTCTGGAATCGGAGAGGACCGGCGTGGCATTGAGAGAGGAGGATGGCAAACCACCATATTAGGTGAGATGTTGTTATCTCTTCCCCAAGTTCTGTGTCATTCCTGTTCTGAACATTCAGAGAACAACAGAGGCTCTTTATTTCTTCATCCATCCTATTGCCACCTTATGTCCTTGGCTCTGCAGAAGTGGCAACTGTGCTGACAGCAGACCTTGAATGACTTATACTTTAGTTCCCTTTTTCTCTGAAAACTACCATCTTTACTGGAATAATAGCTGTATTAGCATGTAAAATACTGTAGCAACCGATAGTGATGTCTGTACCACTTGAATACACTTTCCCTGAGTGGTAGCAAGCATTGCACAACTGCAGCTTAAAATAGATTCAAGGAATGCTTGCATCCTCTTTTTTTAAAGACAAATCTCTGGAGAGACAGCAATATGGTCTTTAGGAGTATGGCGAAAAATATTCAGAGTCTTCCTCAAGTGAATGTTGGATACAATATAAAAGCGATATTGTCTCAGATTGTGAGGCTTACACTGTCTTGATATTGCAAAGGTAGTGTTTAAATCTAAATAGTGGCTCCTTCAAGCTTCCAAGTTCACTGCAGAGTGTCTAGGCATTGTTTATGTTTCACAAACTTACTCCTAATGTCATGGATTTCCATCCTGGCACCCTTTCTTGGAGGTGATAAGCATGATTGCCTAAGGCCATGCCTAATGGTTGTCTAAGGCCATGTCAGACCCTTCTCACTTTCACCAGCTTAGATGGCATTGTTTTTGTAAGCTCTCCGTTGTAAACATGTCCCTCTTTGGGACACAGGACAATGAGCTTAGCCAAGTGAATTCTTAAAGATTCATATGTGTTTTGTCAATAGTTAATATACAAACATGTACAGATTTATACTAGAATAACATATTTAGTATCCAAATCCTCCTTCCCACATCTTCAGTAGCTCAAGAAGTTTGTTAAATTTTGATCTCAGGGGCTCCAAATTCTTGTCCTGGCTTAACCTACAGTTCATTCTTTCTGATATCTCAGTGAAATCATGTATTTCAGATGTGATGGTCAACAGATCCTGACTACTTCAGAGACAGTCCCCCGCTTTCAGTAGGTTCTTTTGATTTGTGTTTTTTTGTATTCCTGAAGAACTTCCTTTGCTTTAGCACTCCTCAATATACCTATTTCTTTTGGACAAGGAGAGAAGAAACCAAATTCCTATAACCTGCCCCAAAGAATGGACTCTTGCAGTGCAGACCAGTCTTATTTTCCTGAAGCTGCTGGTGGATGACAATGTGGGTATCAGCTAAATCAGTATGTGCTGAGGGGAAGAGCCTTGTGGAGAGTTGGTACATTCGATCGTTACGTCAATGAACCCCTGCAATATATCCCACCATAATGTGTGGTTCTGCTTCACAGGGTCCCGGATGGCCTTGACTTTTGTGAACTCCAATCCTTCAGTTTCTAACCTCAGCTACAGTCTCTTGCCTCCGAGCACCTCTCAGATGAGTAAACTAAATATCCATTTCTTGTCTTCACCCTAGGAAAGTTTACCAGGCGAGGGAGCTCTGACACAGCGACGGAGATGGAGAGCCTGAGCGCTAGGCATTCACACTCTCATCACACGCTGGTCTCTGATCTGCCCGACCACTCAAACAGCCATGGAGAAAACACAGTCAAAGAAGGTAAATTTAACACATAAGGAAAGCAACGTTTCGCCGAAATATCAACTCCCAAGAAGCTGAGGAAGTGTTACTGTTTCCATGTCTGAGTGTATGACTAATTGTTTTTTCCTTTTTTTTCCCCACATCTCTTGAGGTTTTTTTTTGCTCTGTGTAGAAAAATGTTCCAAACCTTTCATGTTTGTCTGGTGCAGTTCGTCAAAAAAATTGGCAGCCATCGGCAGGGAGAAGGCAGGGTTTGCGGGTTTTTTTTGCCTTACCACAACACAGCACAGAAGTTTGGGCAGAAACTTGGCATTGCTAACTTTAGTGGTTTCATGGGGAATCTTGTGGTATTTAGTGCCCCCTCGCAGTCCACAGCTGCTGGATTGTGCCGAGAATCATGTTTTTTTCTTAATTCTCCTGGTTCCAAATAGAAGCTTGACTTTGAAATTTACTTGAAGTCACCCTAGGGCTCATCTGTCTTGGAGGCCTCTGCAGAAATAGCAATGCCAGTGTGACCATGATGGGAGAGATGGGAGAACTCCTGGTGGGATCAAGTCTGCTCCCAAAAGAGGAGTCTTTCTGTTGGCAGGGCGACACCACCTTTGTCAAACAAAGCAGAGGAAAGCTCTCTTCTGTCAGCACAGCTGTCTGCACCAGAGCACTTTGCTAGCACTGCTCCTACTGCCTAAACACAGTGATTTTGTTTTCTTCCTCGTGCGCAGTGCTGCTGGCAAAACCTGGTCGTAGAGATTGGGCCTGACTTGTGGCAAGTGCAACCTTAAACTTTGCTGAGGGCACAGGATATCACACGCCCCGTGGAGCAGGGCACAGTCTGTCTCTGCACAAGCTGTCAGGCAGCATACCTAGGAGGCTACAGATGCACTCACATGGTATGTGCTGTAGCCTTGGAGCTCTCAAAGATCCGTACTCTTTTAGCACAGCAAATCTGAATAGTCTGAGAGGATGGATTTACATCAGCTCTAATTCAGCATGGGCATATCTCCTTCTGTTCTGTGTCTCCTGGGCAAGGCTCTTCTCCTGGATCAATTTTATGGAGTCTGTCTTCCCAACCTGTATTTGTTCTATAGGGCAGTAATCCCACTCACTACACCAGCTTCCAAGCCAAATATTTTCTAAAACGTAGTCATATGCAATGCTTGTTTTTCTAGTGGTACCCCAGGTACAATTGTGCAGCAACTATAAGAATAATGGGACAAATCATACTATTTCTAGTGGTAGTCTACAACTTTGAACAAACCATTCTGTAGTTAGAGAGTAAGTACAAATAGTACATATTTCTTTTGTTTTATATGACCAACTATGTCCAAGCATATTGGTCATTCATTATTTCCCAATATTATTTATTCTGTTATCTACTTTCCCTGTCCAGGAGACATTTGCTAATGAAGTAATTTTTTCTGACTGACACACTGAAAAGCAGAGATGAAAAATTAATTGTGTCCTAGGTAGCTGCTCAAGAGGAGTCAGGGGCACATGGGCACGTGCTGCAGGTGTGCATGAATGTAAATGAAGAGTCCTTAGTCGTCCTTCCCTGCCTCTGAGAGTCCCATCCGGCAATCAGACCTATTAGTGATAATGAAATAAAGATTCAACACAGGAGAAGTTACTTTATGTAGGATTTGAATATGGATTTTTGTTAGTCATTTCAAGCAAAACCTTAGTGAAACAAAAATAGCTACCCTTGGGTAATCATCAAACTTGGTAGCTCAGGAACAAAATTTCCTAATTCCATCTTTATTTTTATCTTCACCATGCAAATTTCAGTCAATGCCATTAAAAAGTCACTCTTGCCAGCAAGTAATCCTCTGTTTACAGGCGGCTAATTCCCGCCCTGATCATTGACCAGCTTGTAGCATAGTTCAAGTTACTGCTGTCAGCCTTAGAACATTTCTCCTAACAAATACTGCTAGTTCAGTGCTAGCAGGGTTGCACAGGCTATGATGAGATGTAGTTACCACCACCCTGGCAAGTTGTTATTTGCGTAACATAACCAGTCCATTGCTGAGTCAGTGCTTGAAGATTCTTGTTAGATGTATGATATTTTATTCATTAGAACACATTAAATAGCCTTAGGTAGAGGTCCTTCATTATTCCATAGCCCTGTTACTGGACTGTCTGGCAGAAGGTGATCCAGTCAATGCTATGGGAGACATAGGGTCTTTCTACACCACAGAGTGTATAAACCTACTTACAAAGCACTAAGTGTGGGAAATTACTAACATCGTGGCCTGGAGTTCAGCATGAGTTGTAAAACCATGGTGAATCTTTGATAAAAATTGGCTAGTGTAGCCAAAACGCTGTCACTACCTGAGCTAACTAATTTAAAGTTAAGCTTGGCTGTGTCACGAGATCCCTTCTCTGAGCACTGTGAACTTAGACACCACATTGCCTTTCTAATCAGTCAGCTTTGTGTTTTGGAGATGATTTAGGCTGTCACAGGTACTGTTAGGAACACACTGTGCCATTTTTTTTCAACTGGTGTGATGAAATATTTCAAACTGGTGTGACTTAGAAAGCTGTTCCAAATTGGTGCTGCTGTTACCCTGCCTTCACTCCTGCTTCCAGCTGCAAAGTCCTTCCTCTTTCCCATGCAGAGGCAGTGCTGCTTATAAGACCAGGCACTGGACCAATACAGAGAGCAAAGCTGGCCAAAATCTAATCCCCCTTTTGGATTAGATTTAGGCTGGCTGAGCTCCCTGATCTATTTAACCGCCCAGTTGACTGAGATCAACTTAAGCTGCCATGGAACTGTGCTGCTAGAGCAAGCTTGGGATTGTTCTAATTTACACTGGCTTAAAGGAAGAAATGAATCTGTGCTTTCATCTCTGTACCCATGATAGGAACCTGTCTTGTCTTTCGGCATTACAAGCTGCATTGAGAGCTGCTCCCTTCTTGTAAATAAGCACAGCCTCAGTTTTCCATTTCATAACTCTAGAGATGGAAGTTTACGGGTAGCCATTTTCCTCCCTGCAGTGCGGTCCCAGATCTCCACCATCACTGTGGCAACCTTCAACACTACCCTGGCCTCATTCAATGTGGGCTACGCCGATTTCTTCAGTGAGCACATGAGAAAGCTTTGCAACCAGGTGCCCATCCCTGAGATGCCCCATGAGCCACTCGCATGTGCCAACCTCCCGCGGAGCCTGACAGACTCCTGCATCAATTACAGTTGCTTGGAGGATACAGATCACATTGATGGAACCAACAACTTTGTCCACAAGAATGGCATGCTGGATCTCTCGGTAATTGGCAAGGAATGAGGAAAGCCAGGTCCCTCTTCTGTCAATATAGCTGTACCATTGAGATCAGGGTTTTGATGGGCTTTTCCTCCACCTCTTTATATGACTTCTCTCAGCAGTACATAAAGGTCAGTCAGATACATTTGTGCATATCGTAAAAGTCTCCTCTGAGATACTGCAACTCCTTTTACTCCTTGCAAGGAGCGCATGTGCATGTGGAATGCACACGTCAAATCTTAAGTGATACTATGTAATGGCTGTGTTCCTGGGGCATGCACCAAGTTGCCTATAAAATAATATAAAACTGAATAGCACCTTTCTTCTAATGGCACCTTAAAACTCACCTTTTCTGCATTCCCCTTAATGACTTGACAGCTCCTGGTGCACTGAAGCAGTGTTCTCAGGCTCACAGATGTCATCTCATGGTTTCCTTTTCTGCCTGACTGTGCCCAGCCTGCGGTTTCTTGTCTTACACCTAGATTGTAGGCTCTTTGGGTTGAGGGTTGTGTGTACTTCTTTCTGAGTTTGTACCGTGCCTGCTATAATGAGTCTCTGGTCTATGACTAGAATTTCCAGGCACTACGTAGTACCAGGAGAGAAAATAAGTCTGACTTTAAATATGATGTTTGAATCTCCCAGGTGGTCCTGAAGGCTGTTTACTTGGTCCTGAACCATGACATCAGTTCCCGGATTTGTGATGTGGCACTGAACATTGTGGAGTGTTTACTTCAGCTTGGTGTGGTGCCCTGTGTAGAGAAGGTTCGGAGGAAGAGTGAGAACAAAGAAAATGAGGCCCCTGAAAAGAGACCAAGTGAAGGATCCTTCCAGCTCAAAGGGGCTGCTTCTGGTGTTTCAGCTTGTGGATTTGGGCCTCCCCCAGTTAGTGGAGCTGGAGATGGAGGAGAAGAAGGAGGTGGTGGAAGTGGTGGAGGAGGTGGAGGTGGAAGTGATGGAGGTGGTGGAGGAGGAGGAGGACCGTATGAGAAGAGTGACAAAAAACAGGAAAAGGTTTGTCTTGCTTCCCTTTATACCATTCCTTGAATGTACTGTTAAGATCTGTTAAGATTGAGCATGCATGTGTATGCAACTGCCCTGTTTTCCCTCCTTTTGTTTTTTGCTCCGCAACAACAAATTAATTTGTTTTGCTCTGGTGCTCACTTGGGGTTCCACTGAAGAAACATGATTGAGAATTCAAGCACTGTAACTACTTCAGCGAAGCAGCTACCGAAAGCAGTTTGCAAGCCTTGCACGGACCTTTTCAATATCTTGTCAAAGTGCCTGAAAGTCTCAATCACAATGTTTTCTTCAGGTTTATTATTCATAACTTAGAAGGAAAACTAGAATCCAGTGTGTGAGCACAGTTTCTTTTCTTTGATGGCCAGAAATCATAAATTTTTCAGTATTGCTATGAGAATTAGCCAAGAGATGCTCTTGCTGACCTCCAAAGTTGCAATTCATAGTAGCATAATACCTAAGGCATTTTAAAAAGATGCTTGTTTTTCTGCTCAAGCAAGCCGACTCTGTTTTTCAGGCAGAATTTTTTGAAGTGCTGAATGGTATTCATAGCAGCATGTAGGGGGCTTCGCATTTATAGCATGACTTTTTGAGGGGAACTGAAAAGGAGGGGGCTGGTCCCTGAACTTGAAAAATAATTGGAGTAAACATTTCAAGAGTACCTACTCAGTAATGGAGTGTCTGAGAGGAGAGAAGGACAGCAATTTGTTAAAAGTAAAATGCTAACACAATGCCAGTGGTTGTGCCAGGGTTTCACACCATCTTTCCCTCTGTGACCCTCAGGATGAAGGCCCGTCTGTCAGCACCCACAGGCTGGCACTCACAATGCTGATCAAAATTGTGAAGTCCCTGGGTTGTGCCTATGGTTGTGGAGAAGGACACCGAGGGCTCTCTGGAGATCGCCTGAGACACCAGGTATTCCGGGAGAATGTAAGAGAATTAAAGCTCATTAAAGCGTCCCCCTTGTACTTTTGACATCAGCTGCTGAGATTGCTGTCTGCCCCCTCTGTAGCTTTCTCTGTATTGACAGTAAATGTGTTGCTCTTCGCCCCAGCTCACAGGCTGTGTTGCAGCCCAGCCGTAGCAGATTTTCAGCTGCCGTGATACCTTCCAGCCCCTGGGGCTTGCTAAGGGTGCACCTGAGGCCCAGGGTGCTTCTCACCACCCCAATGGATGGGTTGTCTGGGCAGGGACAAACACATGGGAGCAAATCCCCTGTGTGAGCTGGTGTAAGTAGTTTTTTGCATTGACGACACCCCAACAGAGTACGCCATTTACAAGAGGTGCAGCTATCTTAGGTTGCGTACCTGAATCCAGAAGTCTAAGGTGTAGTTATGTCCACCTTTCCTAATGGTGATAATGAGTGGTTGCTGCTGGGCTGCTCCATCAGCTCCTGGTGGTTGGAGTGCACTGTGCTTGCAGGCATGTTAGCGTGCTGCAAGGAAGTAGAAGACTCATGCCCTGTTGAAGGGCAGGGTGGATGGTCACTGTTGATTCCTCACATTTTTGGTTCTGCCCAAGTTGAAGCAGTGGCAAATGCCCAGGATGTAGCCCAGACAGCTGACTTCATCCAGAAGAATTTGACTCCTTGAGATCAGTCCAATGCCCTGTCAGATGGGAGCCTTGCAAAGGCTCTCTCCAGCACAGGCCACCTCATCGCCTTGTGTGCTTGCAGCAGGGAGAGTTTTTGATGGCTGTAATGAGAATTTACACTGTGCCCATCCACGGCGCGGTGGGAGCCAGATGCTTCTCCATGGCTTTGGTTAGCCTGAGCCATGCCAACTGAGCTGTAATTTGGTTCTGGGATCTGAGCTAGGTGGCTCAGAAGTGGATTGGCTGCCTCACTATCATGCAGCATTCTGTTAGCTGGACTCCCAGGTACTGAGGAGACTGCAGCAGTAACGTTAGGCCTGGACGCAGTGGGACAAGATGGGGTAAGAGAGTCCCAGTGGTAACAGTTGAAAGGTTCTGCACAAAGCACTGGTTGAACATATACCATATTCATCAAAATGTCAGTTAGGCTTTTATGTTCTGTTGGAGCTGAGCCAGCAAAACATTTAGGCCTATGCATAACTTTAAGCATAAATGAATAGGTCTCTTGGAGCCAAGGTTCTTATCAGACTCATTGAATTGAAGTCTTTAGGAAGAGATTTTCTTACCCGTCTAAGTCTGCTGCATTTTCTGTGCGTTTGTCTGGCCAAACTGCTTTGCATGCACCATTTGTGTTGACTGCATGGACAAGCACATGTCTGAGTTTACTGGAAAGTTAAGCACCCTATTATAGGTAGCAGGAGAGTTAATGTTTCCCATAGAGCTGATATTTCAGATTCTCTAACTCCAGCCTACACGGGGTCCCGGTAGGTTGGATACTTTTGCGATAAGAAGTCGACAATAGCTTTCAAATAAAATGCTATGTTTTGTGTGATATAAATTGGTCACTGGATATAGGTACATCAAATGAGTTGGGTCTGAGCCAGAGGCTGCAAATCAGATGCCTGAGGCTAAGAACCTGTTTCACAGAGGCAATAAGCCTTGACTGAGGTGGTACATTCCTACTTCATTCATATTCAGTGAGTTTTTACCTTGGGGTTGGGGAGAGGAGGAGAGGCCTTGAGATACAGCTGGCAGTGACTTCACCACCACCTCCAAACAGTGGCACCCACACTGGTGCACTGTTTCCTTGTGCTGAATTTCTTGTTGGTGTCAGAGGCGAACTTGTCTTCTGTCACAGGACCCGAACCTTCTGGCCTCTAGGGGAGGTTACTTTAAACAGTACAGCAGAGCTCTGGCTAAGCAAGAGCAAAAAATACCCTGTTCTTACTAGCAAAACTCAAACACATACTTTGGTGTGATGTGATTTGATGGGTATCGTTGCAGGCTCAGAACTGCCTCACAAAGCTGTACAAACTGGATAAGATGCAGTTCCGGCAGACCATGAGGGATTATGTGAACAGGGATTCTCTCAATAACGTGGTGGATTTCCTGCATGCTTTACTGGGATTCTGCATGGAGCCAGTCACCGACAGTAAGTATAGGTGGCATCAGAAACCCTCAATTAAATATTCTTAAATCATACCAGCAGAAAGAAGTCATGCTATCTTTTCCTTTAAAAAAGAAAAAAAATTGTGAATTACTGTCCTCAGAATATATAAAGCGTACCCTCAGCCAGTGAGGGTCGGGGGAGTTGGATCTCTTCTGATTTGACCACCCCGTGATCTCACCTAGTGATCTTGTATCACCCAGTGCACCTGAAATTGAAGGCCTCTCCTTTGATTCATCCTACCTGTTGTTCATGGCTCTTGAAAGAAAATATTTTCATTCAGGTATGCCTCAGGGAGGAAGTTTTCTGGTTCGTGACATGACCAGGTGCCAGCTGGAATGGCCTGTTTAATCCAGGGTTTTGAATGGAGATATAATTGAGCATTAAAACCCTCTGTGGTGCCTCAGGTGAGGCAGTAAATAGCAAGAACAGATTGAATAAACGGGACATGCCTGCAGTGTGTGCATGTGTGTTAATGTATATATGTGGGGGTTTTTTTAAGTTAGGAAAATTATTCCAGGTGCTATTAGAATAACTAAACATTTATGCTGATCACTGCATGCAGCAACAGTTAACAATGACTGTTTACAGAGTGGGAACAGCTCCTCTGAAGCACTCGGGGAGTCTGACTAGTCTATTAGCCTACCTCTGATTCCAGGCGTTTCAGACAAAGCATCAAAATATTATATAGCAGGCTTTTGTGAAGAAGATGCTTATAGAAAGTTTCCCCACATATTCGTCAATTATTGACTGGCTCATGCTTTGAAACATGGCAGCTCATGCAGCTTTTGAAAGTCTGTTCTCTCACCTAATGAAACCGGGATGTTTCTTGTTCATTTAAATGTGTAATTCTTTTTTGACTCTGTCTGAGAGCTTGGTCTCCTTGTGCACCTTGTAAGAACAGCATTCCTGTAGTTCAGAAGATTTTCTTTACATGGGTGTTGTCACTTTGCAGCTTAATCAAAGATCTCTTGGCCTTTAGAACACTAAATAGAAAAGCTGGAGGTATTGTTCAAATTTTATGCCTTAATCTGTGCATCTCTAATCAGAGATAAAAGGAAGCCAGAGTGGTCCTGGTCTTTTCAATCCTTTTTCATAGTACAGCTATTTCTGGGAAGATTTCATCCTTCTATATTTTACCTTTCCCTTCTGTTTTATTTTTGTGGGGTGGGATTGCAAGAGCTGACCATAGGATGTCAGGTGGGGACTTGCCCTTGTCTCATGAATCTGAATCCCTTTACGTGTGTCTTTAAGCCAACTTTTTTAAACCATTCCTAACAAGGGGACTTGCTTCTACTTGAATTTCACAGACAAGGCTGGATTTGGGAATAACTTCACCACAGTGGACAACAAGTCTACAGCCCAGAGTGTAGAAGGTATTATTGTGAGTGCCATGTTCAAGTCACTGATCACTCGCTGTGCTTCCACTACACATGAGCTGCACAGCCCGGAAAACCTGGTAAGCACTCGATTTCATGTTAACAAAGTTACTTTTTCACTTGATTGTCACCAATGAGGCTTTACAGCGAAGAATTAATTCAGTTTAGCCAAATCCCTTGAGCGTAGCAAGCTATGCAGTCACAGTTGAAACATGATATAAATCTGATGCCCTCCTGCATGCCTGCCTTGGAACCTGGGGACTTAGCCAGGATAAAAGTTGTGCACTCTGAATTGCATTTTCCTCTCTGTTCAAGCAGCTCCTGTGGGCTTTTTTTCCCAAATGGTTTAGTGGCATAGTCTGGAGCAAGGGGTTAATGAACAAGACCATAGCCAGCATAAATCAACTTTCAGCAAAGTTAAAGCCAGTTTACTTGGTTAGGGAGATGGCCCACCCGAGGCAGAGTATGTGAGTTACTGAACAGCAATTTGGTAGGTCTTCCCAAGGCTTAGACAAACACTCAGTTTACCAAACTCCTGGAGGAAAGTAAGGTGCCGCTGGTTGCTGCCTGTGTGCTGTCTCCCCAGAGCAGTCATTAGAAAAGATGACATGAGCTCTCTTCTTCCAGACTGGTGCAGAATCTAGCTGCTAATCTCAAACCACCTCCTTTATTATCAGAAATTAGGATTTTTCATGGAAGCAACCAAGAAGCACTCTTGTGCTCCATCCTTACGGCAGAGCTGTAGAGGCACTGAAGTCCAGCTAAGGGGACAGTAATCTTCTGTGAGGGGAAGGGAGGGGGAGAAGGAAAAACACAGTAACATCTTAAACCAGCAGAGTAGTCTGCCTATGTCCAGGTCCTCTTGTTCTTATGGATATTCCTCCTTTGGAATATTTCTCAGCAGAGATTAAGTGGTGGGATGCAGAAAAACATGTGCCATTGTTGGATCTAGATTAGGGTCACCAAGTGTAAATTTTCCTTATAAATTGTATGTCTTTCTGGACCCTATTTTAGTTAGTGTGTAAGGTGAAACTTATCTTTAAGCGTAGCACCATTAATTGTGCCTGTATGGAGAACATAGTATGCAGTGTACATATGAGGATTTCCTGTTGTTGCGTCACTCTATTTAAAGTCATTCTTGTGTTCAGTATCTTGTGAAAAAGAGCCTTGATGAGTATACAGATCCAATTATTTGTTTGGGCTTTTTTTGTTGAAAGCTGGCCGAGCATTTCCTAGCTGGGAATTTGCGGAATACTCCAAGATCTTTCAGGAAAGTTCACAGATCAAAAATCATGTCCTGTAAAACTGTTCCCTCCATCCCCTTGCCCTCAGATGTAGAGGTGATTTGTCACATCAATGATGTGTATGAATGTTCAGAACTAAAAAGAGCCTTGAGCGTAGGAGTAGGTTGGGGAATGAGTGAGTCATTCTTCTCTCTTCCCATGATGTAAAGCTCTGAAATAATTAAGAAAAATCCCAAGACACCCACTGGTTTTGAAACAAAACATGCATTTTTTTTCCACTCTACACCCCCCCGCCCCCGCCTTTAGCTTTTTCATGCCTTTTAAGATTATGGGCTAGATGAATGGGATAAAACGGGCTTTAAGTCATCTTTGCAGCTCCCTCATCTTGCAGCTGTTTTAGCCTCTGATACTTGTACATCTGCTGTAGCCTGTTGCAGAGCATGTTCCATAACAATAGAGCTCCTCATTGTCTGCTGCTTCTGAGTGCGCTAAATGGAGTTGCCAGTTTTGATGCCAACCAGAAAACACAAACCCCGTACATAGAGAGTGTATCACACAACAGGCAGAGGAAGTAATGGCCTGCTGAAGTACCTTAGAAACTATTGATTCTCACTGCTTCTTCACAAACTGCAGGCTAAATTCTTTCATTTTCATGATGTCTTGCTACTCAGGGCTTGTACTGCGATATCCGACAGCTGGTCCAGTTTATCAAGGAGGCTCATGGGAATGTATTTCGGAGAGTGGCACTCAGTGCCCTCCTAGACAGCGCTGAAAAGTTAATACCAGGAAAAAAAACAGAGGAAACAGAGCAAGAGCCAAAACCTTCTGGGAGTAAAAGGTGGGTGTCTAGGAGGCAAAAGACAAATGACTGACTTACGTCTGGCTGTATGACTACATGCACTGAACACAAATGTACAAAGTCCAAGGGCTTGTGTGTTTTATCTTGATAGTATATGTCAGTTCCTGATGTACAGAACTGTACTGTGGCGGCAGTCTCATTTAAAATTTAATGAACTGAGACAGTGATAAGTTTGCAGCAAAAACTGTTAACCCTTTCATACAAGAGGCCTACGAGAACAGTGCAATGGAAACACTAGGAAAAAGAAAGGTTAAGAGAAGTAAGAAGCACAATGTCAGTCTCAAAACACTGTGTGGACGTAGCTTTTAATGTGTATCACATCCTTAGTGTTCTTTATCTGACAGATAAACCCTGGTATGCAAAACAAGTCCCAGAATAAATCTAATCCTGACATGCTTCTTTATCAAAAAGAAATTTTCTCTGGTGCTTTGAGGCTTGTCATATTAAAATGTTGCGAAGAAGGATTAAGAACTTTGAAAAACTCTTAAAAACCTTGGCTTTGCTTCTAAGAGCTGATGTCTTTTTCATGAATGATATATGTAGAGGCAGAAAGTTGCTAAAGAGAGGGTACATCTCTAAAGCTGCTTTGTTGCTCAGCAGCACTGGCTTCCATGTGATGTAGCTATGTGATGACCATGAGATGGGCCATCCATTCACTTTAGCTGATGATTTATATTACCTATATAGATCTGAGGTGGGAAGCGTCATCATTGACAAAAGCCAGGCATCAGCTGCCCCTGATGAATGTCGTAGTTACATCTCAAGCCGCCCAATGCAAACTCCAGAACAGTAAGTAAATATTGAATTGTTTCATGCATAATTGCCAGCATCTTCCTTCTGGGATTAGTACAAATGGACAGTACAGCAAGGACTTATCTCTTTGCATGGTACAACAGATGTGTTGAGTGTCTGTTCAGGAGCTGCTGATAAGATCCGGGTAATGCCTATTTTCAGTGCTGCCAACTGGACCCACCCTGATTTTAATGGGGAACCACTGGAGATTTTCAAATGACAGTGCAGTGGATTTGTCAATATCACATACTACCGTAGCCATGAGTAGAGTGTTAATTCCTCAGAGGTGTCATCACAGCTGTTCTCCATGCTTTGTTTGTACTTCTGGGCAATGACTCTATTGATTTTCAGCTTCCAAGTTGTTGCTAAGGGTCGTTAATCCTCTGCTGCCTCCCAGGAGCCGACCCATTCCTGACCTATCTTGGGCATGTAGTCTCCAAAGATTGTTGCATTTCCCTTACCAGCACAGGTCCCCCTCCAGTTTTCTTAATGAGCAAATCAACCTGCTGTTAGGCGTTGCACGTTTGAAGTCTCTATTGTCCAAAAAATTCTGCCATTTAATATTGAAGTAAATGTAATCAATACTCTTAAGAATTTTAGAAAATTTTATGAATGGCCACTGGTCCCTAAGTAACTTTGGACAAGTCATTTAACTTCTCTGTGCCTCTGAATACCCATCTGTCTTGTTAAAGTGCTCGAGATGCACTGTACGAAGGCATTGCTTGCACAAGGGCCCAGAGCTTTATGTTGTGTATTCTCCTGCATTAACTGAGCCTGAGAAGTCTCACTGTTGCTGAGACTGCAAGGATAACACAAAGGCCTTTACTGCTCTGCAGAACTGCAGCAAGCTGTTCTGCTGTGAGCCCTCCCACAGCCATGGGAGATCTCAAGAGTATAGCAAAATATGCTGTCCCCATTCCAATACGTTAATGAGAACTGTGGCTCCAGCAGGTTCACAAATGGCTATTGTGTTGTCCAAAAGCTCTCCAGTACACATACTTGTAGAAAGCAACAGTGTAGTCATATCAATATGGGTCATTTTGACCTGAAGATGATGGTTTGTTTTTCATGTGTAGGAGCTAAAAATTGGAATGACCTGTTCAGTGGATAAGCTCCTCAGGGTAGAAAAGATGGTTATTTTGTGCCTTGAACAATGTTGAGCATGTTGTCAAACTTGATTATGTCCCACTGAGAAGAGTACGTTTGGAATTCAAAATGAAACAACCTCAAAGAATAGAGAGATTAGGAGGGGGCTGCGGGAGGGAGGCCTCGTTCCCCTGAGCATCCAGACTTCACTGAAGTGCAGTTCACGCTCTGTATGCCTTTTCTTCCAGTGATGAGCAAATCCAAGGGGCCGTTCTGGGACGCAAGGACTTCTGGCGAAAGATGTTCAAGTCACAGAGTGCAGCGAGTGATACCAGTAGTCAGTCTGAGCAGGACACATCCGAGTGCACCACTGCTCACTCTGGGACCACCACCGACAGGCGCTCCCGCTCCCGTTCCCGACGAATCTCCCTTCGAAAGAAACTCAAACTCCCCATAGGTAAATGTATGTCTCTTCCTGTTCTATATACATATTGCATGTGCAGAAAGGCATGGATAGATATATCTGTCCGGAAATATTGCAACACAGTTCCTTATTGTCCAAGTATATTGTATATTCTCCCGAGGGAAGCTGGGAAATGCTGCTCTCTCCGTTTTACAGTCAGGGAACTGAGGCAAAGGAAATGTAAGCAATTTGCCAAAGGTAAAAGAGGATGTCTGTGGCAAAATAGAATATTGAATCCGTGTCTCCAAAGTAGTAGGCTAGTACCTTAATCTCCCAGGCATTGTTCCTCCCTGTAGAAGAGAAATATTCCAATAGCATTTGACAGACAAAAAATATATCTTTTACAGGTCCCAAGACCTGACCTTGTGTGGTTATTAATACATGTAGCACAAAAAGGTTGCCTTCCCCTTTCCTCCCATTTTCCCATACCCTAGCATTGCCACTTTGGAGAAATACACTGCAATTGCTAATGAATAGATTCTGCTTGGAAGCAATTTCTGAATTGTCCTGAGTGGCTTATTCTGCAACAGGGAACTGGCTGAAGCGCTCCTCCCTTTCTGGCCTGGCTGACGGGGTGGAAGATCTCCTAGATATCAGCTCTGTCGACCGTCTGTCTTTCATCAGGCAGAGTTCCAAGGTAAATGTGTCGGGCTGGATTGCAGAGAGCTTGGAAGGACAGGATCTGGGTGGTTTTAGCTGTCCTAGGAAACATTCTGCTCAACATGGACGCTGCAGCCAATGAGGCTAGGTCACAGCAGTCTTCAAAGTAGAGTGCCATGGGAATTTGATACTGGACTTTTGTTGCTCACGGTGAAGACTAGGTTAAACCTACACTGTACTTGTCAGTCTGTCTTGGTTCCTTGAGAGAGAAATGCAGGGTCTGTCAACACACTTCAGGTTTAATTGTGGGTCACACTTCTCCTTCCTTCTTTGTGCCTTTACAGCCTCTTGTGAAAGACCAATCCTTTAAGCAGAAAGCTTAAAAGATTAAGTGCTTCAGCGTACGTAAATCCGTGCAGACCCACTTGTGTTGCTATGGTGATCCACTGTGTTACAGCCCTTCTGTAGATGCTTTATGTCTAAGCGAGGAGGACCAAGAGATAGTGGTACGGCACAGCCTGACCTGGCCCTCTGTCTTTGCACAGGTGAAGTTTACCAGCGCAGTGAAGCTGTCAGAAGGAGGGGGGCCAGGAGGTGGCCTGGACAATGGGAGAGATGAAGAGGAGAATTTCTTCAAGCGTCTTGGTAAATGGCGCACCTGCCGAAGACACCCATCCAAGCTTCATCACACAGAAGAAAAAGATGGTTAGAAATCAGGGTTCTCGTCTCCTTTTTTCTTTCTTTTTATCTTTTTTTTAATCTCTTTCTTTCTGTATTTTACCCCTTTCCCTTTTTTCCTGCTTTCTCCATAGTTTTTGTATCCATTCTAGCCTTCTCCAACTTTTCAGTCTTTGTAACTGTTTTCTTTCCTTCCTTCTTTCTTTTGTTTTGATTTAGAAAAAAACTCTAATAAAGTAAATTTTTTTTTTTAAAAATCAAGACTATCCAAATAAATTCTGCAAATATGACATTTGGGCTTTTTAAATCAAATTGAATTTGATTGATACACTTAAAAAATTAATGCTTGTTTCAAAGCACTTATTCAGTTCAAAATTAGGTGTGTAAATCTTTCATTGCCTAATATAACAATGGGTGTTCCATCAGGTTTTTTGTTTGTTTTGTTTTGTTTTTCCAATTTGTGGCCATTTGACAGTTTTAGCAAAGATCAGCACAGAAATGGAAAACCCTGCACAAACCTTGTTATAATTATCTCTTTTCTTCTGTGTTTGCATGTCTAGTGTCTGCATACCATTCGTTAGGGATGCTGTCCCTTTTTCTTAGCACACAACGTGATAACAACACTACTTTTCCTTTCCACGAACATATATCTAATTGCAATGTTTCTTCAAAATCAGCAATGTTTGAAAAGTGCCTTTATGAATAATACAAGGTCATGATATATTCTGTTTTAAAATGTCATGCAGTCATTCACATCCTCATGTCCTCAGCTCAGAGCTCATCCTTGTTGTCAGGGAGACAGCCTCGTATCTTGAAGTTCTGTTACTGTTTTTTAAGCAAACCCAACCCAACTCCCAAAAACACACAAAAAGGAGTAGATTTTCTTTTTCACCATGATTTCTGTAGCTTTACAGTATGCTACATTCTCTGGCATTATGTTCTTTACTTTCTGGCATTACACTTTGACACTGCATTGTATGTATTTCACCATCATCTGTTCCAGACCTGCAGTATAATGCGTGTAAGGTGCTATACAGGCAAGTGATACTAGCGAAGTATGACTGTATCTTGCCAGTGGAAACCGGTCATCATTCTACCGCTGCAAAAACGCTGGTGGTGGTTTTCAACTAGCTCCTAGGTGAAAAGTATTGTTCCTTTAGAAGGAGAGCACATCATCCCAGCAGCTTGTTGTGGCTTGGTAGCTGAAGGTGAATACCCCCACAATGGAAGGAACTGCATTGTTTTCTTCATCCACTGCTTTGTGCTGAAGTAGGTGTGAAATACTTCCACCATATTTTCTCCTAGCTGTTACTGGGAACAAACAACTGAGGGGCAGTGAGATCTTTATAGACTGCCACAGCTGTTTCTACAATGCTCATGTGAGACGTCCTTTGTATTTTCTTGTAGGAAATTTTTTTTCATCTTTGTAATACTGATTTTATGCTGTGAGTTTGCTTCTGCCTAGAGTGCCTATATTCTTGATTTAGTGGCAAAGATTTAGTCTTGGCCCTGTGAGCATCAAAAACCTTGTTCAGTATGTGTGGCACATCTTATGTCTATAAAAAACTCACATGACACATTAGTATTGGCTTTTTAAACTTTGGAAGTCTTGTTCATACTTCAGCCTTCTGTGAGTAACGTCAGAATTTATGTAATTAATGAAGAGAACTTGAAACGTCTTTTACATGCCTGTGAGAGAAGAGATGTACATGACACATGCTTGGTTTTGACATATGCATGCATTAGAAATACCATAACAAAAGCAATGCAATGGGTTAAAGACAGAGACCCTTGCGTGTTAGTATGAGAAACAAGCAAATTGTGCAGTGATGTTGATGGGGAGTGTTTGGCCATTGCCTGATCACTAACTGAGGCAAAAGGAGAGTATTTAAAGTTTATAAGGCAAAGTGTGACAGTTAAGGAAGTTATATCACCATGTCCACAAGGATCTCTGGTATGCAGTGAAAGCCATTAGCAAAAACATTGGAGGAGTAATACATGCCTCTGTGTGTGTACGCATACTTGCAGCTGCGTAGTGAACTAAATGTGAGGCCTTTTCAGGGTGGGACGGTTTATAACACAGCAGAACACTAATGTTACAGAGGGCCTTCAAATTTCCAGTGCTTCTGTATCTTCCATAAAGATCAGCAGGTTTTATGTGCTTAAGGAGAAGAGAATAAAAGCCTATTGAAGGTGGATGGGCATACTATTAAATCTCTCAGGGTATGATCCTAAAGCATTATTTTGGAACCTATTTCTGCCTTCCCATTATTGTCATTCATGATGCTGTGCCATTACTTCACTCATGCTTTTTCCATGTGGTGTTCCCTCTTGTGTTTTTGGGTTTTTTAACATAGACCAAATTTAAAAGAAAGCAGAGAGAGGAGAAATACATTATAGTAAAAAAAAAAGTATATTAATTTGTCACATCATTTATGAATTGTAATCTTCATTGTGATATATCATCTAGACCAATGGAAATTCTGTGTTGGATATGTGTGTAAGCGTACGTGAATGTGTGTGTGTATATCTGTATGTGTGCACATGTATACATATATATACACATAAATATATGCACATTCATGCATTACAAAATGTTGATTTTAATGATCTTTTTACCTTTACTAAGAACAAAGCATATATACAGAAGTGAGTGACAGTATGTTTACCCTTAACGTTCCTTTGGGCGCGTACTGAGGACATTGTGAGTGACCGCAGAAGTTGCCAGGGTGTTCAAGGCACACCACCACACGCTTGCTCCGAGGGGTGATCTCGCGTTCGCACAGCAAGCAGCTGTGGGGACAGGAGCTTGGGCATCCAGTGTCCTCCTGTGTTAGGAAATGGTCTGTGCTCACCGGGTGAGATTTTTTGCAGGGCTGAGTCACGTTGATGTGAAGCCAGTGAGGGCTCCCCTGCTTACAGCAAGGCTGCTCCAGGACAGCCATCAGCTGCCTCTGAGGGGTTCACTTGCAAAGCTTCAATGAAGTGCGAGGCTGGGACTGCAAAGGACCACAAGGGGCTGTAGTGGTAGACTGTAGGTAGTACCACTGAGCCCGGATGGACAAAGCCTCTGCTAGATCTTTATAGTGGGGGCTAGGGAGATGCCTTGGGCATGCCTTTCTGTATCAGAAAGTCAGGTCTCTGTTCTTTATCTCATAGAGGCACAGCCCTAACAGGGCCCTGAATAGGAAACATTTGTTTGTACCTCAAATGAGTTAGTGTTACAACAGCCATAGCAGGAAGGCTCAGATTGCGTGCTACAGGCTATAAGGAGAACAGGAGGAGTTGGAAGAAAAGGGTATTTGTGCCTACTCGTTTATGTAAGTGTTCTTTCTGCTTGCTTTGTTTGTTTGTTCCATTTTGATGAAAATTTAAGAACGTTTTGTTTACTGGAAAACTGTGTACAGCTTCACTGGAGAGAGAAAAGCCACAGATGTCATAAAGGAGTCTCTTGAAATTTGATATACCTCTGTCTTCAGGGGAAAAGTGAAGATCTGTATTGTCATTTTCTGTTGTGACTATTGTTTGTGGTACCTAAGTGCTTTCCAAGTAATTCTGGGGAGTGCGATCTCAAAGGGACTTTGAGTTTCAGCCATTCTTCTTTCCTGAGGATGGAGAAGTCACAAAGTCCTGTAGAGCTTACATTTTGCTTCTTATCTTTCAAATCCATGTTTAAAACCCATCTTGAATTCTCCATGCAGTGTTCTCTTCTTCAGTGCTTTATCTTTCAGTATTCTGTAAACTTTTGTACTTTCACATGTAAACAGGGCGAGTATTATGGATAAAGACAAAAAGCCCAGAAGCTGACTACTCTTGTTTTTACCAGCCACTTTGGTCTTGAAACTACTTTCCTGATTTCTCATCTGTATCTTTCAGCCACTCTCTCAACTCTGGTACTGACTGCGTAACGATCTTCTGCGTTCAGAAGTGTTCGTTCCAATTGGCGATGGGATTAGTTGATTTGTCGTGTGAACTCTATACATGGAGCTTAAAATCGTGCTTGAAAGAAGCTCCGGAGTGGGGTGCTAGCTTCATTTTGAAAAGGAACTCTCATTAGGGAGCTTTCCATCCCAAAGAGTGCAAGACAATTCAAGGGAGAGAGGCTGGAATGATGATGATACCTCGGAGTTGAGTCCAGTCTCACTTTGGGTGTTCTGGTAATTGCAGAAGATGTATGCCTAAAAAAAGGACAGTACTTGACTTCCATGTAGAACATTTCCAATATTTGCTACTGATTTTTCTGTCCTAGTAGATGATACATTACTAAATTGATACATGAGGAATAAGGCTTATGCATGCTCCACTTTAAGATAGACTTAGAGGCAATAGAGAAGTAAGATAGGAGGTTAGTCAGGAAAAACAGACAGTAAACAAGACAGTCTGTGTTAAAGAGGTGAGGAGGAAGGGCCATATCCTGCTTCACCTAGTAGATCCTGGACTTCCATGCTGAGTATGGTGGAATTGTTTTGGGCAGACATCAGTATGATCAAGACCAGAATCTGGCTTGCTGTATGCCTGTTTCACCGAAGTTATGAATATTGTAAAAATGCCCCTGTTATCTTCAAGATAGTGCTTCAAGGTGAGGAAGGGATTTAGACCAAGACTGTACTCGTGAGGATTTTTGTTCCACTTTTTTTTATTGGCGAGAGACTGTGTTCCCTTCTCCCAACCCCTCCCCGCATGCCCTCTGTACTCTCTACCTCTTTAGGTTGCCATAGCTTTGATGATCACTTGACCTCCAACCAAGAAGGAGGAAAATCCAAGAACGTTGTGAACCTGGGAGCAATCCGCCAAGGCATGAAGCGTTTTCAGTTTCTCCTGAACTGCTGTGAACCAGGCACTATCCCTGATGCCTCCATTTTGGCAGCAGCCCTAGATCTTGTAAGTCGTTTATTGGTGTATTTTTACCTGCTGAGAGCACGTGCATACGTGGTGGTCCATTGTTGTTCACTAATGCTGTTCATGCCCGCCCAGAAAGCGGGTAAAGCATCACAGCAATGCCAGCTGGTGGTGCTGTTATTAGGTGGAGTTTTAGCATCTGTAACTGGATGAGTATGCAAACAAAATGGATTTTTTTTATTACATAGTTCCCCATAACTAGATTGTTGCCAGTGCAAGTCTTTTGTTGTCAGTCTTCAAATTTTGCTCACAGGCATTCTGCGTCTGCTCCTAGTGTCAATAATAATCTACAGAATAAGGATTGAAGACTGGATAAACTACCTGGAGAAGCGTAGGCATTCCACTCAGGAGTTCTGACAGAGTTATAAATACATGAGGCAACACTGAACTATTAGTCACCAGAGCCAGTCAGGGGAAAAAACTTCAAATGTCAGAGTGTGCATGCTTTTAAATGCAGATATTGCTACTTCACAGATCCAAATCACAAAAGGGACACAATTCAGTCCCTCCTTCCTGACACTGAGTGTCTCTTCTGTACCTCCTTCCTCCTTTTCCTTGCAGCTGCTGTTTTTTTTAACGGTCCCTTCCATTTCTAAAGCAGTGGCCTTCAGCCTGTGGTTCCAGGGCCAGTGAGGCTTTGTGAGGTGCTTATATGACAAGCACGAGAGCGTGACAAATACAGCTATGAAAAACCAGCCAATTAGTAACTTCTCTGCCCTTCTCTGCTCTTCTGCTTCCTTCCATCAGTGTTTGGATGTCTGCAAACTGAAAAAGACTGAAAGCCACTGCTCTCAGAGCATCCTCATGCTCTCTATCGCTTGTCTTCCCACTCCCCACCTCTCACCTCTTTGACTGTCATGCCATTTGTGCTTACATTCAGTTTTTTTGCTCACTGCTGGAGATGCCAGGTTCGTGGACTCTCTCATTCTGCTAGTGTTGTGCCCTGAGCTGTGCCGCCTTGTCTGCTCCATAGCTGTAGGGATGACACACTCTGTGCACCACTCCTTTATGCGTTCTTCTTAACCTTGCATCCTTAGGCTGCAGATTTAAGCAAGTCGGCGTTAATATTGGCCCAAAGTCGCTGTTGCTATTATCTCACATCTAGCTCTACTATTTGGACTGGTCCCCGTCCATCTTCCAGTAGACAGGTGTTTTCTTCACTAGTTCCCACTCTTCCTGTTGGAGGTGATTGTCCCTCTGGCTGGAAGCTATGGAAGCAGTGGCTGATAGGGAAGCCTGTCTCGTGCTATCACAGTCAGAAGTGGTTCCTACCAGTCAGGGCTGCAGCGAGCTCAGAAGGTGGCTTGAGGAGACAGTCGCTCCTGCCAAGTGTGCTGCACAAAGGCAGTTTCATTCTTCAAGGCTGCCACCCCATTGCGAATTCTAAACTAACACAGGGAATGTAAGGTGCGTGGGCAGGGAGGAGCTCACTGCTGAGAAGTGTGTCACTAAGATCCTTCTGGGAATGCGCTTCTCTGTGTGCTAATAAATCAGATGATAAAACAGGGGTTTGGCAGTTGTGTCCCTATTGCCTGTAAATGTCTTACTTGTTTTTTAAATTTGCCAAATGCTTAAGCTACAGACCAACTTACTCTGTGTCCATGTATGAAGTCAACTGAAAACTGATGGTCAGAGTGAACTGTTTGAAAATGTCTCTTCGGACTTCCAGAGCTGGCTTTTACAACATAGAGTTTGACTCTGTTCCCTTTCTGCTGAATGATGCAGAAGGCTTTGGTATCAGAATTTCTAGGTCTGCAGCTAAAGATGAAAGAAGCCTTGTTCTAATTACAGGCTTGGGAGACTCCTTACAAGTACCTGCTCAGCTGGCATTTTGTCTACAAAGTATTGGAGATACATGGAAGTTAAGAAGTCACATGCGCTGCAGGTGTCAAAAGATGACAGCTCATCAACTCACTGTATTGCTTAATGGCAATGTATGCTGTTATGGAAAATTCCCACATTGTGTGTCAATAGAGCTCACCCAACAGAAGACATTCTGTTTTTCTAACTTCTGTTTTAAGGCTTTTGAAGTAATAGTTTGAATCAGGTTTGATGCAAATTAAAAGATTTTAAAGTAATTTTATACAGCCTAGTTGCTATGGCAACCTTTAAAAAATGAAAGGCTAACAGCTCCAGTTTCCATTCTTTCATAAAGTTTTTGAGCATACTTTTTCATGCAGATTTTCAAAATTCCATTGTTATACCAACTTCAAGATCTTTGATCAGCCTGGATCTTTATACAGGTTTGCCACAGCGATTTAAAGAAATTAGGACAGTGAAACAAAGGCTGCATCCTTACAGAGGTAATGATTTACTTATATATTAAACTGAGTGTTGCCTCAGGTTTAGAAACTATGTAGTTAATGTATTTTCCTAGAAGCAGCATCCTTCCTTGACTGAATTTTATAAAACTACAATCAATTTATGGCTTTGCAAACATTCAGTGACAATTGATAATACGTTGCAGAGAGTTTCATCTTTGTGTCACCAGCTTACATCCAGACTTGGCAACAACAAAATTGATTTTCTTTCCCTTTTAAGAAACTTTGGAGGTTGAAAGGCAAATAATATGATATTTCAGCCTGTGGTCAAGTTTCTGCAGAGGATTCCAACAAACCGCTGTCTAGCATCGTATAAAGATGTTACCTAAAGTATTCTAATTAGACTAGTGTAAATGACTCGGGTGGGGAAATACAAGCTTTCCTTTGACCAGTTTAGCAATGTGGGACACCTATCACCATTACATTTCTCCAATAAGATGTGTGAGCTGATCTCTTCTAACATGTAAGTCTCTTATCCTTGTCAAAATGCCATAATGGCACTGCTTTATGGCAGGGTTTTGTTAGAGAGAACCTACTAAGTATTGGGATGGCAGAAGCAAAATCTAAACTGCAAGAATACTTGCCAGTATCCTGACTCCGTGTCACGCAGGGCCTTAGGCAGGCTCTGCTGTTCCCATGTCCCTGCTTCCATAGCAGAAATATTTGTCCATAGGAGGCTATATGACCTGGAAGGAAATCAGAGATTGCTCCAAACAGGTCCCCAGGGTGTTTCTGTTCCCAGTCATCTAAAGAGCCATGTCATGGATTGTACTTGACCATTTTTAGACATAATCAGAGAGATTTGAACTAATGTTTTTGAGGCAATTCTGCAAGACATTGGTTAATAATTTACAACCTGTCTTCATATACCTGCTAAGCTACTTCTCATGCCAAACTTACCTTGTGGCTAGACAAAGCAGAGTTATCCAGCCAGCATCTTTTGACAGCACTTGAATTTACTTTATTTACTTTTAAAAGTAGATTGTTGCTATTTTGGGCACACTTTTTTTTTTTTTACCTTGAAGAGACCAGTGGAAATGAATTTTTGCTTGAAGTGCCTTGCAGAGTGTAAGAATGGGCACAAGAAAATTGCCATTGGTTGATTAGTCTTATAAAATTCATTGTCCTTGAAAATGAAACTGGACCTAGATGCTCTGCAGTCATAAAACTCTGCAGAATCAGCTTTACTTGAACAGTAATCCAAATCCATTCTGTGTTATGTCCCTCCTCGCCCATGTCATTGCTTTTGCTCTTATTAGTACAAATCAGGTAATCTATTGAAAACCTCCAGTGGGAGTACTTGGAATTTTGTTAAGAAGATGGTGGATTCTTATCCATGTTCAGTTTATACAGTACAAGAACAATTTTCAAAAAGCAAAGCAATATAGTAGGTCTAATGTTAAAAGTGGACTTGTGAACAATTTCACAGGCACGGACAGGCTTGTGAGAGTATTGCTGCTGTGTTAAGTTTTGACAGTGACCATGGTAACTTGTGTTCTTTTCAGCTGTGCACCTGCCTGATTCATTTCTCTCCATTTGTGATGTGTTTCTCTGTGATGTGAATCCATCCCTGTCCATTCTGTCACATCTTCATCTTTCTCTTGCTGCTGCTTCAGGTTTCTCTGAGCCTCAGGTAAGCAATCACAGGGAGCTTGTGCCCCGTGATGTTCAGAAAGTCCTCCTTCATGCAGGAGGCCTTTTCGGTGATTTTTTAATCCAGAACTCCTGCTCCCCCCCTTTACCCCCCACCCTACATATCCTCCTTTAGTTATAGTAGTTGGGTGCTTCCATAATGTTTACAACGTGTGTCTTTACAAGTTTCCTATGTGCTAAGAAATTGTGGCTTTACCAGTGGTGAACTAAAACAGGAGGCAGCTAAGGCAGGTGCTTCATCTTTTCATGTATGTCTCCATGGTTAAGATTTTACTTTGTGAGAGTAAAAGAATAAAATGCTCGCCTGTTCTGTGTTCCATATTGCATGGGAGCAAGAAGTAATTTGTAATGGTTTTTCCAGGTACTAGATATTAGTTTTATTATTTCTGGTTGTCAGTGAGTGAGTGGTTTCAGATTTCTGCCTCCCTTGTCAGAACACTGGGCCAGCTTTAATGTTCTTATTCAAGAGGATTCCTAAAAGATTGCTATTTTATTCCAACATTTGAATAAAATATTCAAATATTGCGGCAAAAAGCTGCAACAGGATGTTGTGTCAGGAAGAAATTAACATATGTTTTCTTGTTAATGTAGACAAAACATAATGCTGCTTTTTTTTTTTTTTTTTTGTTTTGTTTTTTTTTTTGCTCCAGTCCCCTAAAAGGCTTGACTTTTTTCAGTCCTGTTGGCAGTAATTTCTGGCTGTAAGTTTAGCTGCAGTACAGAATTTCTTAAATCAATTCCCAAACTTTTAGAGCATTGGTCCAGAATTTCTTGCTTTCAACTTCTGATTAAAGCAGTATTGGAGGCACTATTTAATAATGTTCCACAGACCATCTTCCATGGTCACAGGGCCCGTCTGTTGTTTATGGACCACAGATGAGGAACCTCCCCTTATAAGAAGATGCTGATCTGTTTAAATTATCTCATTAAAGCTGTCAGCATCTAATGTGTGGAATACATGTTTGTGCTCTGTGAAGTCCCGGTTAGGGAACCTTTCAAAGCCAGCTTGTAAATTGTGGACGTTGTTGTATTCTTAGTTTTACAACCTGCTGGCCACAGGGCTTTTTGCTTGTGAAAACTGCAGGAAAAGGAGGAGGAAATTAAAAGGAAATGAGGAGGACCATTTGCCTTTAGTCACTTTCCATGTCTGTAAAGATGTTATTTTTGCAGAGTTGTAGGCTGCTGGGAAGAAAACTCCTTCCGGAGTCTGAGCTACTCTTTAGGAAACAAATTACAGTGTCCGTTTTTGAACATATTTAAGATTTTCAGAAGCATTCTTTATTGGTCTAACATGGATCCTGCTGAGTGATTTAATACAAGCTAAGATACACTCAATATAATTTCTCCCATTAAAGTACTCTTCCAAGCTGGGGACAGGAGGTTTTTCCTCTAGAAAATAGTCAATCACTTCATAACTCAGCTGCCTGATGTTGTTTCTGTACTAAATTGTCTGATGATTGCTAAGGCCGTTGAAGTTAGGCCAGTGAAATTTTGTTGACTTATGCCAGAAATGGATTTCACTCTCCATATCTGCTTGTCGTAAGTGCAAAGGAGCACCCTTCCTAGTTTCATCGAGCCTCCATTCATTGCTTCCACTCCGAGATCCACAAGCAGAACTTACAGGACAAATGCTAGGATTCAGCAAGTGCCATGCTGCCGTTTGCACCTGCAGTATTTGCAGCCTTACTAGCAAAGGTGAAAAAACTTGACTCATTCCTCCAGTAACAGTGTCAGATGCATGCTTCTGCTTTTTGGCAGTTGAATGGTTTCTGAAAGAAAACATTGCAAAGGGGTACTGATACAAGGTTTTTTATGTTTACTATGTGGCTCTTCCTGCCCCTCTAGTGGTTGGGCTAAGCATAAATGTTCAGTGTTTATGAGCCTTGGCTTTATTAGCTCAAGAGACGAGATCTACGGCAGAAATACTTGTTTCAGATTTGGATGGAGAGATTGCTGAGTCTGTTTGACTCCATGGAGAGCCTGCAAAGAAATTGATTAAAGCACAAAATCCTCTAATGTTCTGGGAGTTTTTCCAAAATATCTGTATTTAAAGTGATTTTTTGCAAACATTTCAGGAAGCTCCTGTAGTGGCGAGAGCAGCCCTGTTCCTCGAGTGTGCACGCTTTGTTCACCGCTGTAATCGTGGCAACTGGCCCGAGTGGATGAAGGGCCACCATGTGAACATTACTAAGAAAGGCCTGTCCCGTGGACGTTCCCCCATTGTGGGCAACAAAAGGAACCAGAAGCTGCAGTGGAACGCAGCTAAGCTCTTCTACCAGTGGGGAGATGTAAGTGTTTGTTTCTCTTCTCCTTACATTAAAAAAATGTACCAAAATGCAAAGGTGATTGGATACTTTACAGAATTTCAGTTCCAGGAAAATGAGGACTCATAAGCCTTATTTCCAACTTGTACTTCACAGCCTGCCAGGATCAGCTCTTCTCCTAATGGAAATGGTCTTGTTAGGACGTAACAGTGTCCCCTTCCCTGGGAAACTGGGAACAGTGTCCCTCTTCCTGCCGTGTTCCCTCTGAGGATCCATTTGGTCCACTCTCCTGTTTCCAGAACTTGTCATATGTGAATGCCTAAGGAAGAGTAAGAGCAGGGGGTGTGATGCTGCTTGCTTTTTTTATAGCTTCCAAATATTTTTAAGCCCAGGGCTGCTTGAGCTAGATGTGGTACTGTATATGCAGTAATGGATTTCACTCTGATGCACTTACTCAGTCTCTCTTTGCACCCATACAAACTGTTAGCACTCATCATTCTTTGGCAGGGAATCCTACAGGGCTACTACATGTCCTCTAAAGAACTGTCTCTGTTTTGAGCTTAGCTCCTTCAAGTTTTATTTGATCGTGACCTCTTACCATACATCAACTAGGCAATTGCCCTATCTGACCCTGTCGGTGCTGCTTGCAATTTCTTTTGAAACCCACTGGGGTATACCTGCTGAAGGTCTGATGCTTATTACAAGTCATTTCACACAACTCAAAATAGTGGGAGAAGTTCCTTTGAACTCTATGGTGCCTGTTACATACGTCTAGCTGGAAATGAGCTTTGTGCTTCTCGCCTCTTTTCACAAAACCGAAGATTTTTACAGTAAGCATCATGATCCAAAAAAAAAAAGACAAAAAAAAAAGATGTAAAATCCAAGGCTCAGGGGAATTTGAAAGCCATGTACTCTGCAGTCTTGGGGTACTTACATAAGCCATGCCAAAAAATCCTTGCTGACCCGTAGGTTAAACCAACAGTTAGGTTAGATTTGGAGACTACTCTTTACAGTGCAAATTTCTTCTCATTTTACTGCAAGGCGTCCTGCCACTCATTAATATTTCTATTTCTTCTCACTGGAGGCTAGAACAGTATAGTTACCTACAGCATCACTGTCCCCCGAACAGACTCATGCTTCAGGATTGGTCTGCACCTAGCACTGCTGAGGTGCTGTTCTTTTATGTCCTTGATGGTGAATGCTGGGCCAGGCTGGTCCTCTGGCACTGCTTTTCCTCCCAGAAGCTCTTTCAGATGGAGCTGGCTGCAAGCGTAGGCATTAGCCACGAGCCAAGCCTGTAGAGCCTGGACTCTGCAAACTGTGCTCTTCACACGGCTGCCTTTGTTGGCTCTGATCAGATTCCGATGAGATAGGCTGAACTGTGAGGAGAAACAGCTTTCTGTTGCTGTAGTACAGGCACCTGCTGTAGAACATGCGGCTGTTTCTGTGTGTTAACTTGCCCGTTTCACTGTGGGCAGTATCAGCACAAAGGGTGGAATGACTGTGCACTCACGTAGCTCCTAAGCAGCTCCAGTACCGAGAAGATGGGCTACCTCGCCCAGCCCAACTCTGCCTCCATGCTACCAAACCCTTGTCAACACTCTACAGCACACCATCCTTGCTGCTTGGTGGCAGCAGAGCTGCTGCTCTGGAAGGAAGATTCTTGGACAAAGAAAAGAATGTATTAGTCTCTGAATGCACTGAGACCTTGTTCTGGTTTTTTCTTGCAGTAACTAAGGCTGGAAATTTGTGCTAATTATGGATCCTTGCTTGTCTGTCATCGCTTACTAATTGTGATATTACAGTGCTATAGTCAAAGTTTAGTGAGACCAAGAATGAATGTAAAACCTTCTTTCCCCACCCAACTCCTTTCATTCAGCCTCCCTAATACCCATCAGAAAATAACAGTGGTAAACCCTTTCCACATGAGGCGGGATTTGGAGTGCTCCTAACAGTGATAAGCCTATTGAGTCAAGCAATCTCACTTGTTATGCTGTCTTTTGAAATAATACAGTGTTAAATCTATTCTGATCAGGTTAGTCTATCACTTCCTTTGGCTGCTTCTGTTAAGAAACATTTCTTTTAAAGTGTGGCATACTCTCCATTTGCTAGGAAAACCAAGCATAATTCATGCAGATAATACCTGTTAGGAATTCAGTACTCATTGGGTAGGAAGCTGTGGGATTACGTATGATTGCTTTAATATTAGGGTGGACAACAAAGCATAAATAATATGTAATCAGTTACTGCTTTGTGGATAGGCATGCAGAACACTTCTTCCTTTAAATGCCTCAAACATGAAAGGGGGAAAACTTGTGAGAGATGTGGAGTTTATTTAGCAATATGCAGGCTCACAGATAGCTGAGATTGGCAACTATTTGCATCAGCTTGCAAACCACAACAATGCCACCTTATTCTGTCTGTGTAGCTGAGTCTACCCTCTTCATTGTTGCTGGATTTCACAGGAACTGCTTGGTAGCAAGGAAGAACAGCTGTAATAAGTGACTGTTTATGTATTTCTGTGTCACTTTAGCTGAGACAGGAAAATTCCATAGTGCTGGCATGATCATCAGTTCTGACTTGTAGAAGATTCAGAAAACCTCTTTAGCATCCTTCTCTGAAACTATCCCAAAACAAAAAAGGCCAAATGGCAAGTGCCGATGAAAACTCTGTGATTAAACACATTTCCTCCCTCGCAAAGTGATATTACAAGATAAATTTTTATGTTCTTGTCTGTGTTCTCTTCACCTACCTGCAGCAAAGAAAATCAAGAAAATCCTTAAGAGCTCTGAAGTGTCTTAGCAGGAAAGCATTCTTCTTGCTAACACACCCTTATCTGTAGCTTTGCTGACAGCACCATGAGGGCTGTTTACATGCTGATAATGATGCTGGCAACCAACCACGAATAGCAATCAGTGTCTTTCTGGAGAATATAACAGTATTCAGTGGAAATCTGTCTGTCAGTGTTCTTTACATGGATCCCCTCTACACCATTACCATGCACCTTCCCAGTTTTTATAAGCATATTGTCAGTTCATTTTCAGAAAGTGTGTCAGGGAGTCTCTCCTTTAAAGATGGAAGCAGGCTTTCCCATGGGCATTCAACAGCTTTGTGGAGGATAATTTCTTAAACAGAAGACATCTCAGTGGAAAGACTTAGCAAAAATCTGAAACACATATATCAAGGGGAGAAAGAAAAGTGGAAGAAAATAATACAAAATAATGACCTAATCTCCTCCTGCCTATCATGTGCCAGTTAGGGGGAGGGGGGGGAGGTTGTTATTTAACCAAATCTGCAAAAATTTTTCATCCTGAAATTTGACACGGTTTGCAAATTTTGGTTGGAAAAAAGGGGGAAATAAACGATGAGTTTGGTAGCAATTAATCTCCTATCATCCCTTTCTACTTTACTGCACTTCCCAGACAATAAAAATAAAGCCAGGACTTTCTGTTCTGGCTGGAACTTCTCCACAGCCTGCATAGGGCAGAGCCTTTGACCACCAGTGAGTTGGGCTGAAATTCTCACCTCCTTGTGCTTTCTCTTTCTCCCTGTCTGCAGGCAATTGGTGTCCGCCTCAACGAGCTGTGCCATGCTGAGAGTGAGAGCCCTGCCAACCTGCTGGGCCTCATTTATGATGAGGAGACCAAGAGGCGCCTGAGAAAGGAGGATGAGGAAGAAGACTTTTTAGATGACAGTAAGGAGACTCCCTTTACTACAAGAACCCCCGCTTGTAAGAACCTCTGCTTTAGGAGCACTTAATTTTTCTTCTCTTTTCATCCTCTTGCCACCCAGCTGTATTTCCCAGTCCCTCACCTTCACCCCAGCTTCCTCCCCTGTTCTTTCTGTGCCTGGATGTACAACATGACAGATGGGTAGCAGCACTGAGGGACTTTGAAGGAAACGGGAAGGGAAACAGGCAGTGAGTTGCAATTCCTGTATACTGGCAACTGCAATTATAAGCAGGGTAATAATTTATTTCTTGAGTCTTGCTGTCACCTGAGCATCAAAAGTGGTTCAGACTCCCATTCTTCTCAGTTATTTCTGCTAAAATATTTGTGTACGATCAGCTGCTTTTCTGATTCTTAACACTGAAGAGTCATCTCCTCACCTGATGTGAATTGGCACAGCTCTACCAAAGGCTTTTAAATCTTGACTTCAGTATATTTGCCTGATTCTCAAGCAGAAATATAGCACAATGGTATAAAAAGTATCATTAAAAATCTGTATAACAACAAGATGAATAAAACACACATTTGTGTATGTGTGTACATAAGGGTGGGAAAGGGGGTGACAGATCACTGATTCTGGAAGTCTAGATAGGCATGCAAATTATAACAAATGCTGTGAATCGAAATAAATTAAGTCAAAACACATACTGGTGTAGGTGAAGGTGGTAACAACTTATGTCCTTTCCCAACACCATTTGTATATACGTGTGTGCTGTAATGTACTGGTTCCTGTGTACATGTACTGTTGTTCACCATTGGATGTAGCGTGCTAGCACTGTTTATGTATCTTCTGGTTTCTTTTTCTCTGGTTCTGGGTTTGTTTTTATCACTGCACAAAGGCCAGCTTTGGAGTAGAGAGGAGCAGGTAGGAGAAGTGAAATGGCATTTGTGGGAAATGATGTTGAGAGAACGTATGGGCCCCAACCTAGACCTTCACATGTGCCCCTATGTGGTGTGCCAGCGGTAGCAGCTACGTGAATGTGGGTGGCTGTTCTGGGTATTTTATTAGCCCTTTAGGAGATATATCCAAAGCAGGAGGAGGGTGCACCCAAAATTTTCCCTCTCCTGCACTGTGAATGAACAACTGCATTCCCATGACTGAGTGACAGAATAGGCTTTCTTGTCCCTATTTGGCCACTGATACCAGACACTCAAGGAGATGTGGAGCTGCTTTAAAAGGGTGACCTAAGACAAGCAAACAGAGAGAACAGGTTGTGGTCTAGAAAGCCATTTAAAAGCTCAAGTACTCTCCTGAAAGCCAGGGTCTGAAAATAACTGATCTGCATTCTTGCTGAAGGCAGAGATTTTTCAAAAGCTGCCCAGTATGCTGTAGGGAGTAGATTGAGGAGCCTAAAATATGCAATTGGATGTTCTGTTACACTGTACGTCTCAGCTGTATTTGATAGTTCAGATTATTTTGGTCCCTGCAAAGTCCATAATTCATTACTGGTAATCTGTACAGAGGAATTAGCAAGCATCACAGAATTAATCTGGTTTTATCTGATCGCTGAAGTGTCCTCCACTTGTTTGGTTTGGACTGTTTCTTTGCAAAAATTACTTAGATCATACATGGGAGAAAGCAAGTGAAAACACAGATCTTTCTGAAATGTATGTAGATGGTAATATCAGGCATTATTGAAAAATGAGTGTGGTTAGTTGTTGTCAAAACTAATTTTTTTATTTATTCTTATTGTTGTCTATTATCCTAAATAGTATTTTTCAAATTGATCAAGGACTGAAGAATCCTTCATGCTTTTCAAGCTTTGAATGGCATTAGAAGGGTTACAAAATGTAGAGCTTTTGAAGATGATTGTTTAGACTCAGTTGAGACAAAACTTCGAGTATTTTGATAGTCCCTCTTCCCTTTCCCACTTTGTTTTAGGTTAAGCATTTGAATGTGTAATTTGATTGAGCAGTTTGATAATTTTTTTCTTGATTATCTTTAAATAGCATTTGGATCCTTTGCATAAATAAAGAAGCCTGACTTCAAAGGAGGCTGTCTTTTCTAGTTATCAGGGTTGTAATTAATAATAGCCACAGTACCTCTTTGCTGGCTAGTCATAACTCCATGTATTTTGGGAAATTTTCCTATATTTGAAAGTGACTCTTTTCTAGAACTGCAGAAGATTTGGCTGAATGCAAAACTGTAAAGGGAAGAAGGTTCTCTACTTCTTAACCTGTATTAACTTTAAATGCAGTGTATACAAAATGCTCTATGATTAATGTTAGTTTAGTAGGTACTTCACCATAATATAGTATAATATAAACTATAGTACACTATAGTGTGTTAGTACTATTGCACGTACCGGTAAATACGTGGATTGATATTTGTTTGACTATATTCCTTTTAGCATAGGAAAAGTAGCATAGATAGAAGTCTGGGTTTTCCTCTTTTTTAGTGGCGCTTGCATTATGCATCATATGTGAAAATGTCCATCACCTCTTAGTTCCAGATTTTGTATAATCTCCTTGCTCACCATAGCGATATTTTTTCCTAGGCACTGTGAATCCTACCAAATGTTGTTGTCCTTTTGCACTGAAAATGGCAGCCTGTCAGCTTCTCCTGGAGATAACCACTTTCCTTCGAGAGATTTGCCCAGGCCACGTACTGAGCCTCTTGTGGTGAGTGAACACACATTGGAAAGGGAGCCATGCCTGCAGAAGTCATTGGGCTCTGGGCCTGTCTGAGGAGAGGTAGGGTGGGGTAATAACTCAAGTGGATCTCTGATGCAGGGAGAAAGGAGCCGTTGTCTGGTCAGTAGAAGATGGGCAGGACACATCAGAAGGGTTGATTAAGAAGATAAACTGTGGAAGCACAACATGTGCTGCAAGTTCAAGAAAGTTTCAAAATAGAGAAGAGAGCAACAGATGGATTGAAAAACTGAGTGTGGGGGACCTGAGAGGTGTGGGAGGCGGACTGCAGGAGGTGACAGCTCACATGCTACCTAGCTGATTCAGAGGGCAAGTTGACAAGAGAACTGAACAGGGCAGTTAGGAGAAAGCAAGAGGATGGTTTACAGAGAATTTGCTGGAGCTTAAATGTTGCAGATCTTTGGTTTGGGTTAGACAGCAGAACTGAAGGGACTAGAGGAAGAAAGGAAAGAAACAGAGACAAAGAAGCAAGGAAAAAAATAAACTTCTATGAGACTGAGAGGCACAGCCAAATCCTGGCGTGAATAGTAAGCTAAATGACTGACTAGGTGACAACCAATTTGGTGAACAGCAGAACCCATGAAACCTGATTTCCAGTGATTTGTTCTTGTGTGGATTTTCTTATGTCTAATAGTGCAGTTTAACATTGCCTTCAACCTATTGTTTCAGAAAATACACAGGCACTCAGTTGTCTTGTCAAATTGAGTTGAAGGTGACCATCAGCTTCAGAGGTGGTTAGCATGGAATGAGATGAGAATTGAATGGCAGACACACGGTTTCATCTTTTAAGCCTAATTTCTTTAGGAAATCAGATTAAAAATTATAAAGAAAGAATAAGAAGTCAAGTTTCCAAGTGGACATCAAGGATTTAGCCTTACTATTCTGGTTTTTGTTAATGACAGGCTTAGACCAAATTTTGCTCATGACAATTGTGCTTGACAGGCTGATTTGGCTGGGCATTATAGTAATTAGGTTCTGAAATTCACTTCAAAGGCTGTAGATGACCTATGATGAAGTGACTCAGCTCCCAGGTATGCAAGAAGGGCAATTTTAAAAAACGGGGATAAATTCAGCAGAAGTCTTTGTAAACACTTTCTTGATATTTTTACCATGTAATAAATGACTGCATCCAAAAGCAGGGTAATACCAGGGTTTAGAATTGGTCTCAGTAAAGTAGTTAGGCTTGGAACTAAGAATATGTTGGGTAATGAAGGTCAACATAAATTTGTGCTTTTGTGCCAGATAGAAATGCAAGTGATTAATGGCTTTTCAGACTTGTATATGGGAGAGAAGGAGGAGGAATTATTCTGTGATGCGTAGGCAGAAGAAACCTTAAGGTCACGTTATGCAAGAGCCTATTAGAGAAAATGGCCATAGAGTACTTCTCTCAAGTTTGTACGGAACAGGGGCAGGGGGAAGAGCCAACAACACTCCAGATTAAAATATTAAGTCTCTGTATTTATGGAGTCATGCTTCCTTTCCAAGAGAATCAGGTATGTAATGTCATGGTCCATAAAGCTGAAGTTCCGGGAGAGCGAATCTCGCTTCCATTGGTGTTTGTAGGCATACCTGTTCCATAGATAGGAGGACAGACTTAGCAGCCTTGAAGAACTAAAGCATTTTTAACTGAACTAGTTGTGGTGAACCAGTTTAACTACCCACAGTCCATCCAGACTTGCCAGGCTGAGGACATGAGCACCCATACCTATGTTTGCGTGAGGTACGCAGTCCTTACTGAAGGTTCAACCAAAGCCTTTTGCTGAAGCTGTGGAGTAGATACAAGCTCACTTTGCAAATGGCTGGGAGTGATGAATACATTCTCTTGGAGACTACCGCTGCCACAGTAGAGCCAGAGAACTGGAACTTGTCATTTGCTGTGGTGGAAAGTCATCTTAGCTTAGCAGGTGCTGAAGATAGATAGAGTCAGACTAACTGTGTGCTGAGAGAATGCATTTCATTCTGTTAGGCGTCTGTCTAATTTGTGCAGGCAACAATTTCCAGGGTAAGTGTGTTGATAAACAGCTGGGAGGAGTGATGTGTTTAAACACTCCAGGGAGCGGAACTCTGACCGTGCCCTAGGAATACACCTGTACTGCTGTCATGGCTCACCTTATGCATGCTAATTTATGAAGCTGCTGTAATTCAGACAGATTTGATCACAGATTTTCATCCTGAAATGCTTTAGCTTTTGTTTCATATCCTAAACTCTGTTAGATACGCCTTAAACTATTTACATGGCAGTTTTCAATCCTAGAGATACTACAAATCATTACTTTAGACACCCACCTTTTTATACCCCAGGTTTTGTTACTGAGCAAAGTCAAAATATTTCCTTTATGGCAATCAAATGTTCACTTTTCTGACAATCATTTAAGATAATTTTCCCTGGAGACGCAAAGCTGACTGCAAATGGTTTGGGACCTTCAGCTGGTGTTAGATAGGCTAGTTAACCCATTTCAGCACAGCTCAGTCTAGAACATATGTTTGACAAGACTTTTTTTTGGGTGTGGTTTTTTTTTCACAAACCAACTCTTAGAGTAGCAAACTTTGTCACTACCCAAGTAGCTCCCAATAACTTCTGTAGAATAACCATTTTGGATACTTTCAGTGATCTTATCATTCATCAGCCCTTTATTCACAGCAAGCAGCTTTGTGTCATCTTAGATTTCCACTAGTTACATTTTGGGTGGGGAAGTCTCAAAGCTGATGATATCCCCGGTCAAAAGGCACAAATGATGTTCTTAAAGAGCCCAGCATTTTAACTGTGTTTGCCAGTGTGGGAGTGCACAGTCTTTCTTTCACTTTTTCTAGCTGTGATTAGAGAAAGCAGATGATAATCCATAGCTTGTGGAATCTTAGGACTTTTGCTTTTTTTGGCCCAAATTGGTAGCCAGTAGGTGGCAAAAATGGTGCCATTTCTGTTAATATAAGAAAATGATGGTGCAAACTAGCTTCTCTTTGGTGCAATGCTGTTTATTTTCCAGAATTTAAGTCCAGCTAACATTTTTGTTGCTCCTTGTTTTCCATTATGTCCTTTCTGCCTGATCTGCACGCAGAAAGTTTGCTCTGGGCCGTGCTGTCGTGGCTGTTGCACTGTCAGCTAGCTTTCTCTCAGCTTTTCTGCCTCTGATGAGTACAGTGGCGACACATTCCCTCATCAACCACAGGGAGCCTTTTGGAGTAGGGGTCTAACTGTCCACCCAACATCTTGGGCAGCAGCCACCTTTTATTGCCACCTATCCAGTAGGTGACATTATGTGTTTTCACAGTTCACGTGCCTGCAGACAGGGTGCCAATTCACTCAGCAGTGTTAACCAGAAATGTGTGTTAACACCTGTTAACTCTTCCATCCTGACAGCGTGGCTCAGCATGCTGCAAGCCCAAAGAGTAGTTGGATTAGAAAGTGTCAGGGTAGATGGAGAACTGTGTGACAGAAATAAATTCCCATCTGAAGCAGTTCTTCCTGAAGCTTCTGTGGTTGCAGTGAAAAGCATGGGGGCTCACATTGCTTGCACATCTGTGTGGTCTATATTCTGCTACAGGATCTGGAGAGCTGCAGGCTGCGTCTGGACCCTGAGATGGACCGGCACAGGTATGAAAGAAAGATCAGCTTTGCTGGGGTTTTGGATGAAAATGAAGATTCAAAGGATTCCCTGCACAGCAGCAGTCACACCCTCAAATCTGAGGCTGGTTTCGAGGAGAAAAAAGGTTTGTCAGCACAATAAGGTTCTTGTATTCTCAGGGCTTGTGAAGTGGCGCTTGATTATATGTTTTCATTTGCATAGACTGCGATAAAAAGCAGGCGGCCATGGAGTCACGTGGCTTTGAATCATTTCTGAGATGCTTCTGGCCTTCAGGGTTCAATATAACAAATGTGAGAAGCAAAGATGTTAAATTTTATAAAACACTGCTATGACTGAAACCGATTGAGAGCATTGCAAGATTTCTAAAAAGGAGGATGCCTTGTTTGAAACTGTCTCTCAGTGGGATGCTGAGAGAAGCATCACTATTTGATTCACTTTAAAAATAAAGATCAAAAGTGTTCTTGTTTGTTTTTTTATTCTGATTACAGTTTTTCATTTGGGGAAAACCACACATAGGAGGGAAGATGGGGATCTTTCGGTGAAAATCTATACCGGTTTGGAAGTCATGGCATCTCACAGAATTAGTGGTTGATCACTTGATCTCTTGAATTCTTTGCTACCACATGAAAAACACACACCTGTGTGGCTTTTGATGGCTAGCGGATTAATGTTACCAACATACTGTATACTGTACAAGCAAACCTCAAGCTCACTGTGTTTGCTGAGAACAGCAGATTGTTTCCATTTTTGAGCCATCTCATGCAAAACTCACATACTATCTGATGGTACAAGTGTTGCAATACAATATACAGTCATCGTGCGTATTTGCAATTAGAGGCTAAACCACCAGACAGTACCTGTAAATGATTCTCCCTCTAATAAGTTTTCTAGAACTGTTTAAATTCTGTCTCATAATAACCATATAAAGATGCAGATGTTTGAATGATAATTTTGGTGATTGTTTGAAAAGGATAAATGTTTGATGATTGTTTGAAAAGGATGGAGTCTGTGGCTGGTTATCCTCTAGGAACTGTAATGTGTATTAATGATTCAGAGGAGCTTTTATTGAATTCAGGAGGCTTTGGATAAAGTTTTCGTTGTCTTCAGCTGTGACCCTGCCACAATTACTGGAGAAAATATTGGAACTGCTTCCAAGACTTACATGGTGTAAAACTGCCTCCAAAATTGTGTGGCAGGTGGGACAGTTACTCCTGTGAAGACAGCTAGGTATCCACCTAAGACAGGTGAGCTGGATAAATTCATGCTCAACCTCATTTTTTGTACCCTTGGCATATTGGCAGCCCGGAGAAATACACAGCTTTATGGTCTGTCTGATAGTCTAAGATCAGTGAGATAAGTTGTCACTAACTATTTAGAGGAAAAACTTGGTTTTGAGGTTGGGCTTTTTTTGAAGATAGTTGTGACAGTTACTTGAAAGCACTTTTCAGCCTCTCAGGCAGCAGTCCCATCCACCTGAGTGGGAGAATGCCTGCAAGCACGCAGTCCTGCTGGAAGATGCTGGTGGCCAGTCTCTAACTGTCCTATTTTTCTTAGAGACAATGCTGACTTAAGTTTTCTTTCATGTGTTACTGTGCTACAGGCATAATGCAGAATTGAGTTATTTTTGCAAAGATAGTATTAACTTTCTGCATCCTTGATTCTGTGAAACTACATTTTCCCTGCCATTTCAGTTGGGTTGTTTTCCCATTCCCCCTTTTCCCTAAGCTGTCATGTAGTATTCCTTTACTAAAGCTGCTCCTTTACTACATTTTAGAGATGAGAAAAGTGATTATGGTAGGAGGGCTGAATCCTAATACACTAATATACTCTAGCAAAAATGTATTTGCAGTATTTTGGAAGCTAAATAAATGTAAGATAATGTTATATTTTAAAATTACAATAATGATGTTCTTTTCTCTGGCCACAGCATATTCTTCTGGGGATCCGCCCGGGCCAAACATAACAGATGCAGAGGCATCTTTTGCAATCTACACTTTTCTAGATGAGAAAATGTTGTTGTGTGAATGTAACTAAATTTTTCTTGCCTGCAGTGACAGGTTTCTTTATCTCAACCTCTTTGATGAGTACTAATCTGTTTCCTTTCATTTTTTCTGGAGTGTTAAAAACTTTGCTCTCATTGCTCACCCCAGGCGTGGCTTAACAGCTATCCAAAAGCTACGAGTTTACTGTATAGAATCTGCTCCAGGTAGGTCTGAAATACAGACACTAAAGCTAGGTAGATGCAGGCTCTCAAAGGATCGTATGTACTATTTGGGTGCTAAAATGGGATTCTGCAGACTTCATGAAATGCAGTTACAAGTTCTTAAGTTGTTTGGTGTTCAGGGGAACCGAGCCACTGTATCAAGGCTGATCTGATTAGAATCCAAGCAGTCGTGATTGCTCAGGAACTCAGCATGATCACTGGGAGGGATGTTCTTTGGTCACTCAGTGGTGATTTGCCCAGCTGATTCACGAGGACTGAGGAGTAGCTATCAAAACCTATCCAACTGTCTTCGGCCAGGACGTTAGCCACTGGAAGTAGGAGTGGGAATTGGGTTCTGGAGGAATTAGGGTCATTCTCAAGAGTAAAGGTGTATTTGATTTTTTTCCTGAAGCGAAAATACAATTCTATTAAAATATTTTGCTTACCTATGGTATCCAAAAAGCCATATCCTGTTCATTCTCAACAACATACCAAAAGGTAATCAATCACACGGGGCCTTGCCTGATTAGACCTGCAGTAAAATGACTGAGTGTTGCAACATTTGGACTGACATACCGCTATGTACTGCCTTTGAACTGAGAGGAGAATGAAAGTGCAAACGGTTGGTGCTTTGAACATTGAACCATTTCATGTCTGTGCTCATCAAAAATGCAGAGTGTCAATGGATGTTGTGAATGCCTGAAAGCTGCTGATTTGTCTGAAGGAGAGGATCTACGTGCTCCTGTTTCCTCTAAAGCATTCTAATGATGAAGAGTAACATGCAGAGACACGGATTTATGCAAATCTTACTTCAAAGAAGTCTTGCGTGCTAACCTCATGAAGCAGACTACCCTTCTGCAGTCTCATGTGCTGTATGAATAAATAATTGATCCTACTGCAGAGCTCAGTGAGGTTTACAGAACCCAGGCCCACAGGAAAATAGGTTTGTTCATGGTGCCTTGTTCACGCTTGGGATTCAGCCATCTATCCCTAGCAAGAAGTGATTCTGCACTAACGTAAACCCCAGGGGCTGGCAATGAAAACTGCAATTTACATCCATTGGGCAGATCCTGTTTCCTGGCCGGAATTGATTCAATTTGGTGTGAATCGTAGGTTTTCCTTGTCCACGTTTTGGGTTTCTGTTAGAGCAGCTGACTCTACTTGCTGGTGGTTGAACGAGGGCTAATTCCAAATACAGTCAAGGTGACGTACCAGGTCTCCAGGAGATGAGGTGCTGAACACATTTCCATAAAGCATCTTTACTGCCTGATTGATAGAGCTGCATTGGCGGTGGCTTTGGAGGGAGCGTCTGACCCACATTCCTTGGTAGAAGAAAAGACGCTGCAATACAGGCTGGCAGCAAAGGGGCGGGAGGGAGGGGAGGGCCAGGATATCTTTCTTTTTTAAATGGGGAAAAATTAAGGGGAAAAAAGTCCTCTCTTATTCTTTTAATACAGTTCCCAGCAGGAAGATCAGGATAGGAGGCTCCCGCTTGCTCCAGATTAAAGGAACCCGCAGTTTCCGGGTGAAGAAGGGGGGTTCCCTTTCCAGCATTCGCCGGGCCGGCAGCCTAAAGAGCACCAAGTTATCACGGCAGGACTCAGAGTCTGAGAATGAGGAGCTGCAGCTGTCCCACAGCAGGGACACTGTCACTGATATAGGTAACTTAGACGAGTGGGTGGAAAGGGAGGGGACAATAGGCAGGACCTAAACTCTTGATGTGATTGCAGCAGAGCTAGAAATGACAAGAGACCCCCCCACACCCCAGCAGGCTAGGAAAAACCTAGAGTCCTTTTCAGGGATTGCCTGAACCTAGGGCCTGGGAGGAACACGGTTCAAATCCTGGGTGCAGCGTCGGCTCTGTGCACGGGTTGTCAATTCAGAGCTCCGTGTTAGAGCATGAACTCTTGGAATGCTGGTGCCTGCCAGCCAAACGCATGCTGTCCTTAGGGGAGCACATGCATGTGTGTATATGCACATACACACACCCCTAAATCATATGATATAATGACTATGTGAGGTCATACGCGTATATGATATTTTATTGTCCATAGTAACAGGAGATATATATATATGTATGGACATGCACTTCATATTCTATGTAGGATATGATGTCATAGGCATGTCATATGACATGTAATATATATATTCCTATACGTAGAACATAACATGTACATGCTACACACTGTATTTCTACATATTGGCATACACATATATTTTTACAGTTTACAGATGCCTTCCTTAGTCTTCAAAAGATGGATCACCATACATTTCTCTTATGGGAACCAAATGTGCATCCTGCCACAAGAAATCTCCATCTCAGTTGAAGTAAAGGGGCTCCCCCTGCTAGGGGTGTTAACCAAAAACTATGGTTTGGATATATTTGGAGCTGAAATAACCTCCCAAACTTCATAGTCATTTTTCTGTTGCCCAAAAGATGCTTCAGTAGGTGAACATGGAGAGTGGGGTTGCCCATTCTGTAGACTTTGGCAAGTCACAGCTCACTTAAAGAGGAGAAAGAAAGGATTAACGAGATTTCATCCCCAGCCATCTCTTAACAGCATTGCTAGTTTTATAGGAGGCCCATAGGTTATGAAATGGCTAGAGGAAACACAGGGATCAGTGAAGTTCCCAGAGAAATCTCTCCCTTGCCTGAGTTCTTTAGAACTAGCGTGCTCGAATCAGGATTTTTTTCCCCTTTCATCCCCATGACATTAGCAGTTTCCATGGGCAATTAGCAGTGACTTTGCCCATTGGCATTTCCAGTTGGATGCCACTTCTGGTTGGATTTTTGTTGACATTTTTAACCACAGAGCCCAGTCAATGCAGATCACTAAACCAACCATTTACAGCATCTGAACGGTGCAAAGGATTTGTTTCTGATGTTTTTTGTTTACCTTCTCCCCTTTCATTAAAGAAAAAAGCGGGAAGGGAGCAGTGTTTGCTACTGACAAGATGGCCTGTAAGCCAAGGCTAAATGGTTCTTGTAATTGTCAAGCCAGCATGATACAAGGATTGGGGAGGGGTGTCCAAAAGCAGTCTTTCCAGTGTGGCATATTCTGTGTACTCTGGTCTGTTCCCACAAGGCTGGCCTGGCTTACAAGTGCTGTCCCTAGTCTTAAAGCACATAGGGAGCAATAAAAACAACCACCTTTTGGGTATTTTTCTTTTGAAGAAGGGAGCCCTTGGAGCGCGAGCGAGCCTAGCATTGAGCCCGAGGTGCTGAGCAACACAGGCACAGAGGAGAACTATCATCGGAACATGTCGTGGCTGCATGTAAGTATGAGTCGCCGGCAGCGCTCTCAAGGATGGAATTTTCAATAGGAAAACCTTTGTGCTGGCAATAACCAGATCACAATCTGTGCTTTCTCCATGTAGCATCAAGGATCTCAAGCGTAAGTAAGCTGTGACCTTTGGAAGTCGTCTGTTTGCCATTTCTAAAAAGGACTAAAACCGGAAAGTTTTTGTCTTGCTCCCTCTGTTTCATAGATTGAGTTTATAAGGGAAAAGGGACTATTTCTCTCTAGGTGTGCAGGGACAGCCATGCTACCTCAGCTGAAAAATCCATTAGCTCAGTATCTTATCTCCAGTGTGGCAAGTAGTGGGTAGTTCAGGCAGAGTATCAGAATGGGCTACAGGGTGAGCTGGGCTCCCAGCTTCTAGGAAATGGCATTTTAGAAGCTACTTGAGCTGGAGGTTCTGTTGTGACCACTACATTTACTAATTACCAGAGGATTTTTCCTAGGGAGTTTTTCCAACCCCTTTTTGAGCCAATTTATATATTTTTGTCTCCATTAACTCTATGGCAATGAGCTTTAATTATGCACCTTATGGGGAAAAAAAAACCTTACTTTTGGAACATTTTATTTGGTTCCACTAGATGCATTCTGTCACAATGTCTAACCCACCAGGGCCTTGTGTAGTTTTGACTCTATCCAACAGACGAGGAGTGCAACAGTGCAAATGTGGTTTGGTCACGCAGGGCCTAAGACGTCCATTTTGGTGATCTCTGTACCCATGATTTAGACGTGCCAAAAGTCCGTTGGGCAGGTCCACACAGTTCAATCCACTGGTATCCTAGCACTGTATGCCTCTACCTCTGTCACCTCATGATGCTCTGTGATGGTGCAGTACAGTCAGTGTGTCCTTGTGCACACGCTTTGCAGAAAAGTTGGATTGACTCCCTGTGCACAGATTGATTGTATCCTGTGCGCGTATATGAGGACAGATGCCTTTTAACTTCTGCGTTGCCTTTCGGAAAGACAACTGCCAATAATAAGTTGATATCCCCCTCTTTTCTCCAAGTATTTCACATAGTCTGCTCTCAACTGCCCTGTTCCTATGGGGTATGGGCAAGAACGGGCTTAATCCAATACTGTGATCTCAGAAGTAGTTCTTGATAGTTGTCTTTTTTGGAAGAAGAGGGCAGGGCAGGGAACTCGAATGTCACGTCTTCCAAGCTAGTACCTCAATCCCTGGACTACCCTGTTTCTCTGCCAGTACTCTAATGCTCTTGGTAATGATTACCTCTCATTTGGAAATTCCAGTGTACTAAACTGAGTATGTTAGACATGAGAGTGTATACTAGGAGATGAATTGCTAGAGGATAAAGGCATCTCCCTAGCTAGCAGCTTAGGATAAATCATAGTGCCTTTGCTCAGTGTGGGAGAAGGCATGAACTCATAAATATGAGGCATAAACTGAAGGGAACTTGAGATACTTGTCTCACTTTACATGTGATTAGCCTGCATAGGAGAAAGGAAGATTTGAAAAATCATCTGTTCCAGCTAATGCCACGCAAGTACCGATATCGCATGAGAACTTTCCTTTTTTGTTTGTTGGAAAGAAGGTGTGAGTGGATGGTCACTAAAACCACAGGCAAAATAAAAACCTGCTTTCCGTAATGGTCATGAGCAAACCACTCAAAAGGATCACTGGTTTCAGTTGCTCCTGTGCATGCATGAGCATTTCCTTTTACCTGTCCTTTACAGCAGCCCGGAGCGTGATGTCCTCATTCTATGTCAGTGTAGCGTAATGACAAGTTGTAACAGTGGACCAGAGGCTGGGCAGAGGCTATACAGTGCTGATCAGATTTATACCATTTGCACATTGATGCAACACTGGTGGCTTGAGTTATTCCTGAGTGACCCTAAAATGACATGAGGCCAGAACAGGCAGGCAAAGGCAAGAATCCCACTTATGCTGCACAGATTTTTTTTTTAAAATTAAAATCCTGATGTTTTAGAAGCCTAAATATTTGAGGGTTGAGAGTGATGTGGCTGCCTTACTTGAGAGAGCCAGCAGACTGCAGCTGTGCATTGGAAAAGGTGGGATAGCTTCTTTCTGGTAGTTCTGGATATTTCTACACTAGATTGTGGGATGAAGAGAAGCATTCATAAAGGCCAGTTATGACCTACGATGTGAGTAGCTTGGGGATGCCTCTGTGTTTTCCTCAGAGTGCTACTAATTGGCTAGATTTGTGTGTAACATGAAGACCAATGTACAAAGAGCTGCTGGACTGAGCTTTGCTTCTCTGGGAAGAAACCCTCTAAGTTACACCAGAGAGCAGTCACTGAAGTGTAGACTTACCTAAGGCTGTCTTTAATTAATTAGTTTAGGGACTAATAGCAGTGTTGCTGCAGCAGAGCAAGGCTCAGAATAGCTAAATGCCCAGGTATTTACTCTGTTTCTTAGATGGTTTTTAGAGCTCCTTGCTGTGATAGGGCAACACCACTAGAAATAATAACTGAGCCAGCTAACATAAATCTAGGCTGGATGGACCTACCCAGGCATGGTGAGGGAAGCATATGCAGAACAACTGGCACAGCTTATTCCTACTTGAGAGCATACTGAGATATTTCCTTTTGCGTTCCTTGAAGGAAAGTAACCCCTGAACCTGATGGGTTTGCAGCTTTAATGATGATTGAGTAGTTGACAATTTCCAGTGTAAGTCCTCATCTCAGAGTTGGGGATACAACAGCTTTTCTGCAAGCTGAAAGAATACTATTTTCCTCAGCCTTAATCTTGCCACCAACCAAACATACACGTCTACAGCAGCTCTGTCTCTTTGTCTGCTTTGTTAACACTAATGTTTCTTTAGCTATGCCTAGCTAGGTCATAAACCACTTGCAAGTATGGAGCTCTGCACAGACATGCATAGCTTTTCAGAAAGCTGTGTTGAGCTTCATGCCTTCCCAGCTAGGCTGTGGAAAAGTTAGCTTGGCTGTCCCCATCGCTGGCTGCCCTATGGAGTTCTCTGTGTAACTGCCTTTTCTATAGGTAACTATCCTCTTTTTTTTCTTTTCAAGGTTATGATCCTATTATGCAACCAGCAAAGTTTCATATGTACCCACATTGACTACTGTCACCCACACTGCTACCTCCATCACAGTCGGTCCTGTGCTCGCCTTGTCCGGGCCATCAAACTCCTGTATGGAGACACTGTGGACTCTCTGCGAGAAAACAACACATTGAACAGCGTGGCAAGAGGCAAAAAACAAAAGGAAGTGAGTAGATGGGAAAAGCAGAATGTTTTGGGGTTTGTCTGGGCAGGTCATAATTACCTTCAAGGACTGCATAATGTACTCCAACAGTTCTTTCGTGATAAAATGAACACAGCCTTTCCTAAACACAGCTTTGCTATAAAAAATACTATTAAGTCATTTAGCATTATGGAAAGAACATAATCTGTATTGATTGGGAAGAATCTCAGTTGCTGATAAGGTTATTTAAAAGCTTATAACCTGGCCTTAATTTTAATGTTCTTTTATGGCCTCTATTTATCAGCCCCTGGAGTCCAGTCTCTTTTTTTCATGTTTCTTCTCATCTGTTAATAAGAATCACTCTTGAAATTCTTGTAAAATCTTGCATAATTTCTTTCTTTTAGGTCTGAGCTCTCAGAGCTGTTCCAAGAATTGTATACATTAGTCTTTAATGTTACAGTCTCTCTAGTGACACACTTTTAATGACCAGTTCAGTGGGATATTCAAACAAGATTGTGCCTTTTTAGCCATGTCAGTGGTGCTTTTAACTTCAGTGGAAATACATTTCTGCTTTCAGTAAAGTGCCCATCCAGGTACCAACTGAATCATGTCAACAGTTGGTTAATGCTTTGGTATTCCTGACCACAACAGACTACAGTTATTCCGAATACTTGTAATGGCAGAGCCATTCAACTACTTTGCAGTAACATTGAAAACTGAAGTGTTCATGAAACTGTCATGAAGATTTCAATTGGGTAAAGAGGCTATCATCCCTGTAAGTGGAAAATAAAGGAGTAGGAGACAAGTTGATAATGTTTCTTCATCAACCAGCAGATTGTTTGTTTCCTGTCAAGTTAGAAAATGGAAGGGTATTTGTATGGAACAAAGCACAGAGCAGATGAAAGAACAGCTCATGATTCTGCTTTCCCGGAAACTGTAACCCCCATGTATTTTCTCTGGCACAGAAAGGTAGTGTATCAGTTATTTAGGAAGAGGCACACTCATTTCCTCTACAGAAGGAAGGCTTGAGATGAGCAGCTGGCAACGTTCATGAAAGGCAACAAAAGAACACTGTGCATTACTGTGTGTTGTTTCATCTCCAACTTTGAATTGCAAGGCAAAGTGGCACACATTTCATCATCTGTCAAACCATCAAAGCCTTTTAGCAACAGGAAGGGAAAAAGAGGTTAGGGGACGATAAGGTTTCCTACAAACACGTGCACTGTGTTTGTACAGACCTCACTGCAGGAGAGCAATTGATAACTTCTGAATTTTATGTAATGGTAGACTTTTCATCCCTGTTCCTCGTGGTCTGGTGTTCTTCAAGTGCTGTCATTCTCTGACTGCATGGGCACCATTTCCACATTTAACTGGGTTCCAGAGGAACCTTTTTTTAGTTTCAGAGCTTGCAGAATGAAAGGCTGGAGGAAGCTGCAATATGCAGACCTGCTCCATGGGGCTTGTGAGCTCTCTGATAAATGAGGACCCCTGTGTTAATCAGCAGGCTACTGGCCTGAGGAGAAGAGTCTGTGGCAACCCAGCACTCTGGGAAAAGGCCCTGGTATTGTGAATAATGAACATAAAAAGGATTTGTCATTGTCACTGTCATTGGCAATCTGCTACGGACAATTCTCAGGCAGGCATGAGCTCAGGTCCTGAAATGTCTTGTCACTTATGCTTTCTGAGGAAGAAGAGAAGGTAAATGTAGCTGAGACGGGTCATTGTCATAGGAGACTCCCTTCTGAAGGGAGTAGAAGGCCCAATATGTAGACCAGACCCACTTCTTTAGGGAAGTCTCCTGCCTCCCTGGGGCCTGGGATAAAGATGTGAAGAGAAAGCTTCCTACCCTGGTACAGCCCTCAGATTATTATCAATTATTGATTTTTCAGGTAGTCAGTGAGATCTGAGGGCAATCAAGAGAGACTTCAGGGCCTTGGGACAACTGGTTAAGGGATCAGGAGCACAAGTCGTGTTGTCCTCTATCCTTCCAATTGCAGGGAATGATGAGGGAAGAAACAGGGAGAGCCAGCAGATCAATATCTGGCTCCAAGCCTGGTGTCACTGGCAGAATTTTGGGGTTTTGATCATGGGTCAGTTTACACACCACCATGCCTGCTGGTGACAGATGGGACACACCTGTCTCAAAGGGGGAGAAGGATCCTTACACAGGAGTTAGCAGGGCTCATTGAAAGAGCTTTAAACTAGGTTTAAAGGAGGAACAGGCTAAAACCAGGCTCACTAGGGATAAGTCTGGGGGCAGCATGCCAATGTTTGAGGGATGGTGTGCTAGTGAGGTCCTTTGGTATGTCATCTCAGTGGAGGCAGGGGATGGAGTTCCATGCGACAGCAAAGATGCAAGGGTTATTGATGTGTTAGAAACCACTGAAGCACCTGAGAATAGTCACATAGGAATTAGGGCTTCTCCCCCCAAAAGGTGGCGGGATCTATAGCCCAACTGAAGTACATCTACCCCAATGCACGCAGCATGGGCAACAAACAGGAGGAACTGGAAACCATTGTGCAGCAGGAAAACTATGATATAGTTGCCATCATGGAAACGTGGTGGGATGACTCGCACAACCGGAGTGCTGCAATGGGTGGCTATAAACTCTTCAGAAGGGATAGGCAAGGAAGGAGAGGTGGTGGGGTAGCCCTGTATGTTAGGGAGTGTTTTCATCGTCTAGAGCTTAATGATGGTGGTGATAGGGTTGAGTGTTTATGGGTAAGAATAAGGGGGAAGGCCAACAAGGCAGATATCATGGTGGGAGTCTGTTATAGACCACCCAACCAGGATGAACAGGCAGATGAAATATTCTATAAGCAGCTGGGAGAAGTCTCACAATCGCTAGCCTTTGTTCTCATGTGGGACTTCAACTTACCAGATGTCTGCTGGCAATGCAACACAGCAGAGAGGAAATGGTCTAGGAGGTTCCTGGGATGTGTGGAAGAGACCTTCCTGACACAGCTGGTGAGGGAGCCAGCCAGGGAAGGCACCCAGTGGACCTGCTGTTCATGAACAGAGAAGGACTTGTGGATGATGTGATGGCCAGAGGCCATCTTGGGCATAGCGATCACAAAATGACAGGGGTTTTAATTCTCAGAGAAGTAAGGAGGAGGTCAGCAGAACTGCTGCCTTGGACTTCCAGAGGGCAGACTCTGGCCTGTTCAGGAGCATGGTTGACAAGAGTCCCTTAGGAGGCAGTCCTGAAGGGGAAAGGAGTCCAGGAAAGCTGAACATTCTTCAAGAAGGAAATCCTAAAGGCGCGGGAGCAGGCCATCCCCATGTGCAAAAAGATGAGCCGGTGGGGAAACAGACCATCCTGGTTGAACAGAGAGCTTTGGCTGGAACTCGGGGAAAAAAAGGAGAGTTTATGGCCTGTTTGGGAGAAGGGGCTGGGAACTCAGGAGGACGACAAGGATGTCATGAGGCTATGCAGGGAGAAAATTAGAAGGACCAAAGCCCAACTAGAACTTAATCTGGCTACTGCTCTAAAAGACAATAAAAAATGTTTCTATAAATACATTAACAACAAAAGGAGGGCTAAGGAGAATCTCCATCCTTTATTGGATGCGGAGGGAAATGCAGTGACAAAGGAGGAGGAAAAGGCTGAGATGCTTAATGCCTTCTTTGCTGCAGTCTTTAATAGTAAGACCAGTTGTTCTCCAGTTACCCAGCGCTCTGAGCTGGAAGACAGGGATGGGGAGCCCAGTGAAGCCCCCATAATCCAAGGGGAAATGGTTAGCAGCCTGCTACACCACTTAAACACCCCCAAGTCTATGGG